ATATTTATCAAATAATAAATTTATATAATAATATAATAAACAAATTTATATAATAAATAATAGCTAGCATTTATATAGTACTTTAAGTTTGCAAAATGCTTTACATGTGAATTTATCGATCCTTACAACAACCCTGTGAAATAGATGCTATTATCATCCCCATTTTGCAGCTAAGGAAACCGGGGCTGAGAGAGGTCAAGTGACTTGCCCAAGGTCACACTGCTAATACGTGTCTGGGGCAAGATTAGAATGAGTATAAGTCCTGTACTACTTTTCCACTTAGCTGCCTCTTATTTAAAGGAAAAGCACAAGGAAATGCCCATTTTATTTAGTATTTGCTAAGTTCAGATTTTAAAAGTTAAAAGAAAAAAAAAGGAATCACACATATAAAGTGTTTGAAGTACTCTCAAGTGAAAGAGAGATTAAATTTATATTCTGTAGCTCCAGAGGAATTAGAATGTATACTGCTTGTGAATAGGAAAAGGTTTCCCTTCATGTGTTTGTATCCACAGCACTTAGCACAGTGCCAGACACATAGCAACTTAATAAATGTTTTTATTTATACCTTCATTCATGTGAATGAAGTCAGTGTTGGAGGAGCTATGGGAGAGACATGCACACTAAAATGTACTGCTAGTAGATCTGTGAATTGGACCAATCATTTTGCAAAACAATTTGGAATTGTGAGAGAAAAGTCACTAAACTATTTATACATAGACCTAGTGACCCTACTACCTGGCATTAACCCTCAAGAAGGAAAGATCCCTTGTATACCAATGCCATGCTGGACAGGCTGTGGGAACACTTGTTGGTTCTCCAAGATGACCCTAGATGAGCTGCAGTAATAATAGCAACCCACACTAGCTCATGTCCCGTCTTCCTCAAACTCACAGGAAGAATGAGCGTTACATTAAAATTAATAAACCAGAAAGGGAGTATAAAATTTGCCCACAAGATGGTAGGTAATCTATACATGCCACCAGGGCAGTGGCCTCGTCAAGGTCTCGCTGACACATTCACAGAAGGATCTCAGGGGGTGGGAGAAAATCTGGAACTAAAAATTTAAAAAGAATATGATGTTAAAAATAAATAATGAATATTAATTAAAATATATTAAAAAAGAGTTAATAGGGGCAGCTAGGTGGCGCAGTGGATAGAGCACTGGCCCTGGATTCAGGAGGACCTAAGTTCAAATCCTGCCTCAGACACATAACACTTACTAGCTGTGTGACCCTGGGCGAGTCACTTAACCCCATTGCCTAGCTAAAAAAAAAAAAAACCCAAAAAAGTTAATGGTGTTATTTTGAGTGCTTTGTGTAAAAGAGAAACACACCTATGTGAGTGTATCTTCCCCCAAGCTCCCACACACACCACGGTTGTCCCTAGATCCCTGAGAGTGAGTTGTAATTGATTGGATTCCACCCTCCCCCTCTTTCTCCCCTCCATGCCAGGGAAGTCTCTCCAGACCTTCTAGTATGAATGCAAGTTAGGGTGAATGAGCCAACCCAGAGAAAGAAAAGTGGTCACAGTGGTCATATGGCATAAGGTTAGTGGGTCAGCACCATGTATAGGCCACATATAAAAAGGAAGAGGTGGCAGGGGGTGGCCCAACAACAACAACATGGAGGGGTCAGGAAAGGGTTCTTGAACTAAAAGGAAACTAGGAGTTCTAGTACGCTGAGGTGAAGAGGGGGGACACTCAGTGTAAATGATCCAAGAAGAGAAATGTTATTTGTGGGGGTTTTTTTCCCTTCAATTTTTGGTGAGGCAATTGGGGTTAAGTGTCTGAGGTCAGATTTGAACTCAGGTCCTCCTGACTCCAAGGCAGGTGCTCTATCCACTGCGCCACCTAGATGCCCCCCGGGATCTTGTTTTTGAGATACAGTAAGAAGGCCGGTTTGGCTGGACTATACAACGCTTAAAATAAGGCTGGGGAGGTAAGTTGAGCCCACATCGTAAAAGGCTTTAAAAGCCAAACAGATTATATTTGATCCTAGAAGTAACAGAGAGTCGCCGGAATTTACTGAATAGGAGAATGACAAAGTCAGATAGATAAAGCATTCTTTGTTTACTACTACTAAGCACTGGAAATGAAAATATAAGCAAAAAAAAAAAAACAGTCCCAACCTTCAAAGAGGTTCCATTTCAAGTGGGGAGAGACGTTACCTGGTCGGGGCAACGTGTAAAAGTCAGGATCAGATCCAGGAGAGAACTGAGCATGGATGGCCTGGGCATGGCCTCAAATGGATGTTCCAAGCAGGAATCCACCAGTTAGAGGAAGGGGCTACAGGGGTGGAGGCATTTCCAGGGTGAGAGGGTAGCTAGAGATGGAGAAGCCCAGAGAGCAGAGCCAGGAGATCTACCCTTGAGGAAATTCATTTTGGTTGCTGTATAAGATGTGTTGTAATGGGGACAGACTTGAGGTGGGGAGATCATTGTAATAGTCAAGATGATAAAGATGCTGAACTATAGAGGGGACTGAGTGGTGAAGAGAAAGGGACAGATGCAAAAGATGTTGTGGAGATAGAAATTAGACTTGAAAACAACCTCTATTTTCAGTGCTGATATTTTTCCTGTGTGTTAGACTTGGACATAGTGCAAATTTGGATATCTCAGTGGTATCTCAAATTCAACAAGTTCAAAACTGAGTTCATTCTCTTTCCTTCTAAAATGGTTCCTCCTTGTGACTTCATTTTTGTTCAGTGGCACTGACATTTAACCACTCTTCCATGTTCAAAACTTTGGTTATTTTTCACTTCTCCTCACCTCCACTCCCCTGTCCCACCCACTCTTCATGACTCCTTTTGGGATTTTCCCACAAAAGATACTGGAGCAGTTTGCCATTTCTTTTCCAGCTCATTTTACAAATGAGGAAACTGAAGCAAACAGGGTTAAGTGACTTGCCCAGGGTCCCACAGACAGTAAGAATCTGAAGACAGATTTGAACTCAGGAAGATGAGTCTTGCCGACTCCGGTGTCAGCACTCTATATACTATACCCCCTAGCTGCCCTGTCTACTCTACTTCTGCAGTATTTCTCAAAGCTCTTCACTTTCTACTCTCCCTACCAATACCCTAGAACAAGGCCTTATACCCTCCCCACTTCCAAATGTTGCAATAGTCTTTTTTTTTTTTGGAGGCAATCAGGGTTAAGTGATTTGCCTGGGGTCACATAGCTAGTAAGTGTCTGAGGTTAGATTTGAACTCGGGTCTTCTTGACTCTAGAGCCAGAGCTCTATCTACTGCACCACCTAGCTGCCCCTACAATAGCATTCTAAGTCATCTTCCCCTCTCCATTCTCTCTTCCTTCCAATCCATCTACCATATGGTTACCAGATTAATAAAAATAATAGTTAGCACTTATATAGTGTGCCAGGCACTATGTTAAAGGCTTTATAATTATTATCTCATTTGATCCTCACAACAACCCTGGGAGGTAGGTGCTACTATTATACCCATTTTACAGTTGAGGAACCTGAGGCAGAGGTTAAATGGCTTGCCCAGGGTCAAACAGCTAGTGAGTGTCTGAGCCTAGATTTGGACTCAGGTCTTCCTGACTCCAGGCTAGAATTTATCTACTACACTCCCTAACTGCCTTAATAAACCTTATGTGTAGATCCAGTTGCGTCCATAGTACATTGGGCCTGGAGGATGTCAATGGACTGCTCTACTCTTCCAGGTCCACCACTCCCCAATCTGTACAGATTCCCTCTATTAGACCGTAAGCTCTAGGAAGGCAGGAACCCAGTCCTAATCAATAAGTATTTCTTAGGCTACAACCACTATGTGTCAGACTCAGGGGATATACATATAGTACTGTGAAGTTTATATATATATTTTTTTATTTTTAGGCAATTGGGGTTGTGACTTGCCCAGGGTCACACAGCTAGTAAGTGTCAAGTGTTTGGTCTGAGGCTGGATTTGAATTCAGGTCCTCTCCTGACTTCAGGGCCTGTGCTCACCACCTAGCTGCCCCTGAAATTTATATTCTAACCAGAGAGACAAGGACCTATATAAACGCAGGTGGTGCAGTGCATAGAACTCTAGTCCTGGGGTCTGGAAGACCTGAATCCAAATTCAGCCTCAGGCACTTTCTAGTTGTGTGACCTGGGCAAGCCACTTAACTGTTTGCCTGTTTCCTCACCTATAAAATAGGGATAATAACAGCACCTATGTCTCAGGGTTGTTGTAAGGATCAAATGAGATATTTGTAAAGCACTTAGCAGTGTCTAGCACACAGAAAGCACTACATAAATATTTGTTATTAAAGATAAAGTAATTTAAAATACAAAGTTGCTTTGAAAGGGAGGACAAACACACACACACAAAGGGAAGGCACCTGCAGCTGATACATGTAATATTTATCTCCTAGGGCCTAGCAGCACTCTGAACATTGTAGAAACTCAGTGTTTGTGCACATCTTTCACCCCTAAATTGTGGGCTCTTTAGGGCCCCCCTTTTGCATATTCCCACCACCTTGCACATAGTGTTTTACACGTTTAATAAATGTTTAAGTATTTCACTGAATATGGAAGAATCAGTGACTTTCTTACAGCTGAGAACATTATGTAGCTCATAGGAAAACTAGGGATTTAGGGTTTAGAGAACGAGGGTGGCACCCAAGTCTCAAGAATGTGTTGGAGAGCAAACAAAACGAATGGGAACGGGGTGTGAAATTGGATGCCTTCTCCTTGGACTTCTCTCTGTCCAGCTGTTCATAAAACCAGAGTTGAAACCTAACCACTCCCTCCTCTCTGTTCCAAGGGATGAGAAGAACCAACTTCCTATCTCATGAAAACTTTAATACAGTGGGAGAGATTGAAGGTAGGCAGTATGAGTGATTTCCTAACAGAACTGGGGGGTAAGAGTGGGGAGAGAGGGCCTTATTCTTGGGGATCTGGGAAGAGGATAGATGCTTGGGAAGCTGGACATTGGCTGGCCCAAGAGTGAAGTGATGGGTGACCTCAAAGGTGAGTGGGGAATTAATAAGTTAACAACAGATGTGGTTACAACAGCAGATTTTATTCAAAACAAAGCCAGAAGGGTAAAAAGACAGAAATTGGGTGGATGGAGAAAGGGAAGGAAGAACAGATGGCCAAGAAGAAACGTAGTGTCAGGCCAACAGATCTGGACAGGCCACATGGATAAATCACAGAACAAAAATCTGGGAACTGGAAGTCAAGAGAAAAGAGGGGGAAAGGGAAAACCATATATACTATATCAAACTGAACATAAAAAGTTGAAGAAAGAGAATCCTATTGCCCCAAATAAGTGATTTTTAAATATAAAGGGAACATTATGAGTTTTCTATTAGTATGGGTATAGAATAAAAGACTCCTTTTGGCCCACATGTAAAGTGAGCTCAAATATACGGAAGATAATGAACACTAGGGCTGGGAATATACAATCATTCTGAGTGATGGTAGTGGGGAAATAAATATCCTATTGACCCAAGAATAAAGTAATTTTTTTAAACAAGGGTAGGGTGGAGGAGGAATGAGATTAGAGGTTAAAATAGACTAAGCTTTATCAACCATAACAGGGAGAAAGAGCTGCCACTGGCACCAAGTAGTAATTCTATACCACCTCTCTTTTTTCAACCCATTAGATGGTAAGCTTCTTGAGGGCAGGGCCCATCTTTTGCTTCTTTTTGTATCCCCAGCACAGTGCCTGGCACATGGTAGGTGCTTAATAGATGTTTCTGGATTAGATTGTTGTGAAAAAATAGTTCAGAATGGAGGGGCACATTGGAGCTGGGGTTTAGGCGTTTCCAATTGCTGGAGAGCTTTCCCTGGGAAACTGAGGTGTTAGGTTTGGGCTCTCTGGATCTATAATCATAAGGCCTGGGTTCAGATTGGGCTCTGCCACTTACTATGTGACCATCACAAGTCACTTCATCTATGGGCCTCAATGTCTTCACTTGTAAAACGATGGGTTGGGCAGGATGACCTCTAAGTTTCTGCCTAGCTCTAAATCTATACTCCTTGACTAGGGGGGGTGGCCCAGGGATTGTGCTTGCAATACTAAAGTCAGCCACTAGAGTGCAGCAGGTGCTATCACTTTAACCTCCCCCCAGCCCCCCCAATTAGTCCAAATACATGGTCCCACACCTAGGGTGTGGAGAATCAAGAGCAAAGGGCTAAAATCAACAATTGTGCCTGAATTCCTCTTTCTGTAGGTTGGACTCTGGCCAGCAGAGGCTTCCTGTCCGAGGCGCTACAGTCGTGCTATTCTTTGCCACGGTCACAATACATCAGGAGTCCTGTATTCTGTTCAAGCTGGAGTGTGTCCAGGGAGGGAGTGACCAGCATTGTGAGGGGACCGAGGACCCAATGCCATGGGAAGATCTGGTGAAGGCAAATGGGGTTGGGCCAACCCATGGAAGACAGGTTATTCTTGTTCTACTTGGGTGGAAACCATGGAGAGGCAGATTTAGGCTTGATGTCAATAGATAGTCTTGGGAAGTAGTAAGCTCCCCATTGGTGTGGAGTTCTTTGGGCAGAAGCTGGAGTACCGTGTGTGTGTGTGTGTGTGTGCGTGCACGCACACGCGCACACATGCGTGCATGCACACATAAAGTCTGGGTCAGATTACATGACCTGTGTTTCCTTCCCAACTCCGAGGTTATCTATGATTCTGGAGTACAGGAGGAATGAAGGAAGAAGCAAAAAGCTGCCCCTCCCTCTGCCACCAACCCCCTCCCCAAAGTACGAGCTCCTGCCATGGGGAGAGAATGAGTCAGCCAGGATGCCGGGTGTTGGGGTCTTTGCAGTTCGGTGCTTTAGTTGGCGCATCTTTGGTTAAAACAGCTGGAATGGGGTAAAGGGATGTTTCATGCTTCTCCCCCCACCCATCATTTCAGGAATAGCTTCTTATTGAGAAGAAAGATGAGGAGATTGACATTGACTTTGGCCTTGTTGAAGAGTTTCATGATGGCCACGCCTTCATATTGGAGCTGGAGGAGGTCCTGGGGAAGGGAGGAAGATTGTTGAAGAAAGACCTTCCTCTGAATCCTATCTCAGAGAGGACCTTGTGACCATAGGCGAGCCTATTTCCTCATCTGAAAAATGGGGATAATAATGCCTCTACCTGCTCCCCCTCACAGGGTTGTTGGGAAGCTCAACCAGCAAACCACTCTGTAAACTTCAAAGCCCTGTATAAATGTCAGCTTCCTTCCTCCTTTTCACCTTCACCCCATCCAACCTTTCCCCCCTTTACCTTTGACACTCCCTACGTGCAGAGTGGTAGATGAATTGCTTCACTTCTGGCCTGTTTCCTCTGAGATTGTCTTCAACTTTCTACCCCTGTATATATCTTATATTTACATATTTCTCTGATTGTTGTTTCTCCCATTAGACTGTAAACACCCTGGGGGCAGAGACTGCTTAGGCCTTTTTTTGTATATCCCCAGCACTTGAGCATGGTACGTGGCACGCAGTAAGAGCTTAATAAATGCTTGCTGACTCTAGATATTTTAGAGCGATGTGGGAAAAGTGCTACACCAGCGTGAGCTACTGTTCTCTAAAAACAGGCCCAGATGATTTGGGGGCTCAAGAAGGGTCTGCACTGAGCCAGGCCTCTCTTTTCGCAGATGCTGCCGTGAATCAGGATATGTGCAGGGGAGTTAAGGGGAAAGGAGGAGGGAGCACACCTAATCTCATTTTCTCTAGTAAAAACTCCAGAAACAAAGCAGATGATTCCTGAAGAGGGAGAATGGGGATGTGCACTGACCAAGTCCTACTTGCCAGTGACACTACCCACAAAGCTGAGTGAGAATCAGGGCAGAAGCCAATTAGAATCCTCGGAGCAGGGGGGTTCCATTGCTGGTCAGGGCCCCCCTAGGGGAGAATGGGAAAGGATCCCCCCACCCCTTACCCAGCCCAGGAGGAGCTAACATCTCTCAAGCTTTGGGTTTCACATCCCCTCATGTCTCCCCTCCCTCTCCATGTTGAGCCGGAGGAAGCATCCTGTGTCCCTTCTCTCTGTCTTTAGATTGGAGTCTCAGGGACAAGTCACTCACCACACACAGACCAGTCTTCCCTCACCTGGTAGTGAACCTGGAATCTCTCCATGTCCACACCCATGAACTTGGCATTCACCTCAAACTTTCCTGCCTCTTCCCCAGGAATGATGTCAAAGATGACATTGCGAAAACTGTCAGAGAAATAGGATCAAAAAAGGGGGTGATCAACTTTGTCTCTCCAGAGACTGAACCTCATATTTACAGAGGGAGAATGTTCCAGGTGTCTCCTTCTCAATAGAACAAGGGCAATGATAAAACTTATTCAGATTCCTGGCTTCTTCTCTTGCCTCCCCTTCCATTAGAAGAAAGTCCCAACCACATGCATTTAGCCCCAATTCCTCGTCATAGGCTCAAAATCCCCCCTAGCAGGTCTCCCAAGGCCCCCTGGATTGGTGTGTTCTGCACTCTAATGGGGCAAACATGACCCCATCTTTCCCTCATTCCACCTCTGGGCCTCACACAGACCATCATCCTCCCTGCTGGGGACATGCTCCCATGCTCCTCATCCTTCCCTTTCTTTCCAATTCTGCTCATTCTGGAAGCCTTCCCAAAGGGATAGCTCTCAATTTTACTCTACAGAAATTACTCCCCATCATCCAGTTCCAAAGTCCAGCTGGTTATTTTGCCCTTGTCCTTCTGTCCCTGGGCATGGGCTCTGTCTCCTCCATAAGACTGGAGTGCCCCAAGGGGAGGAGTGGGGAAGCTATTGATAGACTTGGTTGAAAACTCCCACATGCCCCACCCTGGGTGGATACACTCACTGAGTGACTGGCAAGTCTTCAATTTCCACCAAGACTCCCTTTTCAAAGAGCTGGGCAGCGGTGTAACGCAGAGATGGCTGTTTCTTCCCCTTTTTGTCATTCCTGTTTTAAAATTTAAAGAAGACCCAAGAATTCACTCAAAGGTCTCTTCCTGGGAAAAGGGACTTCCTCTTACTACAGTAGAAGGGATGGAAGTGTGACTTCAGGAGGACACCCACTGGCTAAGGTTAAAAAATAATCCACTTTATTGGGGGAGGTGGTATTCCACTTGATCTTGGGGATCACTCAGGGCAGATTCCCCACCCCAATAAGGATTAAATAACTTAACAAAGGTTTTTTAAAAGATAGTTGCTCTTTCAGTGAACTGTTGCCATGGAGAATGATAGAGGGAAACCAAGGCAGAAAGATGGCTAAGGGGTTGGACTCAAAGAACCATCATTCCAGAAAAAGCCGGGTGGCAAAGGCTCCAAGGCCTGACCCTTCTGCCACACTGGGACCCAGGGCCCTACTTGCTGCCGCGGGCCAGGTTGTCCAGACAGGTGCGGATGTACTGGTTGTAGTAGTCGCCCTGCTCCTCGTAGAAGGCTGTCTTGGCCTGCAGGCCCTGGTAAGTGGCCCGAAGCTTCACCAGCTCTACTCTTCTCCTCTGCCGGTAACGGCGCTGGTTTCGAATATCCTGGAGGGAACAGAAGGGACAGTGTCAGGACTTTCCCAGGGGAGGAGAGGTCTGTAGGATTTGTCCACTCCACACCTCAGTCTCTACCTAAGGGGAATTCTGAAGATGTTCGGTTGTTAACAACCTTTCCCTATTTGGGGATGTGCTGGTGGGGCTTAGCACCATTCTAATGAGCTTATTACACATTATGGTGTATTACAGATACCCATGATTCTGTATTATCCTCCTAATAGACCCCATGAGGGAAGGGACTTTGTCTTACTCAAACTTGGTATCTCCCCTAGAGGCCACCCTCAGGGCTCTAAACAGCAGTAATTATTTGTGGAATAAAGGAATAAAGAGAGATAAGTTTCAAGGGTATCCCCAAGACAGGAAGAGAAGTATGATTTCAAATCTGTTTTCGTTCTAGATAAAGGATGGTTTGAAGTACCTGCCCCTTCCCCCACTGAGAGGAGGATTGTTTTGAGGTCTCCACCCTCCTGGGAGAAAAGAGAGACATTTCAACAGCTTTCTTCCTCAAGACAGTTTAAGTCTCTCTCTCTAAGAAGACTGGTTCTGTGGGTCTCCACATTCCCAGAAGAGTGGGACATGACCATGTTCACGGTTTTCCGTGCCAGGGTAATGAAGGGCAGAACTGGGCCGGGCATCTGGCTAACTACCTGGACTATCTCATCCACCAGCCCCTGGTAGCCGTCAGCAGAAGTCAGGCGTCCCAAGCTCTCCAGGTGACGAAGGTTCTTCAGGACCCTCCGCTGCTTTTCTCGTATTGACAGGAGGGAGTGGGCAGCCAGAGATCGACGCCGTTTCAGTGGCTCTGGGGTCTGGGCTTCAAAGGCCTGGCGTCGGGACATCAGTAAGCGATGGGCAGTTTCCTGGAGGAAAGAAGAGGCACAAGATTCCTGAGTCGTCTCCACCACTCCCCTGCTAGGGCAGCCCCCCAGACGAAGGGAAGGAGACTGCTGGGGGAGGCATCTTGACTCCAGAGGTAAGAAGAGAAGACAGCAGGTCCAAGGTCCAATTTCTATTGTGGAAGCCAGATTAGGGGCTGAATCCCCTTTTGCCATAGGGCTGTGGAAAGGTGGTTTAAACTGTCTGGGCCTTCCCTTTTCCCCTCACATACAGGACAGCTAAGTGATGCAGGGGGTGGAACGCTGGGCATGGAGTCAGGAAGTCTCAACTTCCCAAGTTCAAATCTGGCCTTAAACACTTACTAGTTGTGTGACCCTGGGCAAGTCACTTAACCCTGTTTGCTTCAGTTTCCTCATTTGTAAAATGAGCTGGAGAAGAAGTGGCAAACTACTCTAGTATCTTTCCCAAGAGAACCCCAAATGGGGTCACAAAGAGTCAGACACGACTGAAAACAACTAAACATTCCCCATTTCAATACATTAGAGAGAAATATGGCCAAGATGGTAACGTACAAGGGGCTGTGGGATTCAGAAAGGGAATTCTCCTGAACTAAGCCGAGGTCCCCACAGGCTTGTCTATTCAGAGCAAGGCAGAACAGGGCTGAATCTATAGCATGAGAGATTTCTGTTAGATGTGAAACAGGTCTTTCAAACCAGGATTATTTAGGGATGGAAAGTGGTGAAGAGTACCCCTTTCTCATTATGTCTTGCCTCTCAAGACAGGCTCTGAGAATATTCCTCCCTTGCCCGCCATCTTCTCCTTATCCCTGGTTTGGTTTCCATTCTACCCAGCTCAACGTGCTTCTCACTCCTACCTATGCCCCCTTCTCCTGGTTCCAAATATGCCACTCCCTCCACATAGGATGCCCTTTTCCATGCCTTGTCCCCTACTCCCTTTTGTTGTTGTTCAGTTGTGTCTGACTCTTCATGACCCTGTGACCCTGGCACTCCAATACTGTCGATGGAGTTTTCTTGGCAAAGACACTGGAGTGGTTTGCCAATTCTTTCTCTAGTGGATTAAGGCAAACAGAAGTTAAGTGACTTGTCCAGGGTCACACACTTAGGGAGTGTCTGAGGCCAGATTCAAACTCAGCTCTTCCTGACTATCCACTGAGCCATCTAACTGCCCCTCCTCCCTAGGCTTCCCCTAATCCCTATCTTTCTTCCTCCTGCCCATCTAGCACTGGTAGCATCGTTTCTCTTTTTCCTATAGGGATGTGCTGTATCTCACCCATCAGAGGTGGGGGGAATGCCCCCAGGGCTCCTCCTTCCTTTGCTTTTCCCTCTAAGGGGCAGCACCAGACTCTGGGTAATCAGGCTGGGGTGGGGCACAGATTAAGGATGATTGATTGACATGCCTCCCCACTTGATTGACATGCCTCCCCACCTCCCCCAAACTCAACCTTACCTGTTCTTCTGATGGTAAAAGAGACAGGATGTCCTGAAGGGAATCTCCTGCCTGGAACTGGATGATATCAACCAACATCTGCTTGGTGCTGCGGAGGAGAGTGAAGTGGAGCCCTTTGAGGTGAGGGGGAAAGGAGGGATGGAGGCAGAGGGAGGTCACTGACCTGTCTCAGTGGCATTTGGTGGAGGATGGGAAATTCAATCATTGGGATGATGGAGCAAAGAGGTGAATACATGGGGTTGAACATTTAAAAAAAAAAATCCATCCTCAGTCCAATCCCTTCACAATCCCAGAACCTTAGAAGCCCATTCTATAACCACACAGGCACCCCCTTCACAGCATTCTTGACAAGTAATCATCTGGCTTCCATTTAAGGACCTCCAGAAATGGGGAACCCACTACAGCCTGAGGCAGCCAGCTTATTCCATTTCTGGACTGTTCTGTGTACAAGTTTTCCAATATAATGAGCCTAATCCACAAGTCCTCTTCATATTGAGATGACAGAGAAGCCTTTCAAGCTCATTCTCCATCAGCACCTCCCAGCTTCAGCTACAGAGAACAATAGAGGAAGGGGAGGGTAGAGTCTGTTCTTTAGTTCATTGATTGAATGAGAACAAGAAACCAATGTAGCAGAAATTGAAGCAAGGGGGAAACCAATTAGAACTTTCTCATGGGCAAGTCACCATGGGAAAGCAGGGCAATAGCCAGATTAGGGTGGCACCTGTCTGAGGGCTACAGAGAACTTCAGCTCAGAGGCACTGGGGAGGACCTGGTCACCACTCACCTTAGCAAAAGGCTCCTTATGTTAGTGTCTTCAGGGTCAGTCTCAAGGCCCTCAAATTTGTTGGTGAGTGTCAGGGATATTTCCAACTGGCTCATGTCCGGGTTCCCGTCTGATGCCAAATTCTCTCCTGGAAATGGGACAGGGTGGGAGTCAGGGACATAGAGAGCTCTTGGGTTTCCTTTCAACCCCTCAAGTCTCTCCTTTCTTCTTCCCCATAGCTCCTAGAAGTCAGCATCCTCTGGGAAGACTTCCCAGAGCCAAAGAGCAGGGAGGGTTTGCTCTGGCCCCATCTGAAATAGAAAAACTGTGGAAAAGATGAAGGAGTCAGGGCCTGCTTACAGAACTGATCTCCACTCTCATTCTGCCTTTGATCTGTCCATGCCCACGTGTCTGTCCCCCTTGTAGGGGGGACAAATCTAACTAGCAGGCTAGCTGACATCTCTAGTGATCTAAGGCTTACAAAGGATTTTCCTTTGAATAACTCTTGTAAGGTAGGACTTACGGACATTATTATTTTTACTTTACAGATGAAGAAACAAAGGTTCCCAGAAATGATTTGCCCAAGATCACACAGTTAGTAAGATGTGAACTTAGATCTGAGTCAGGAAAATGCCACTCCCTTCTCTTTCCACAGAGGTGGGGGACTATGGGTTTGGACTACTGAACTTACTGTCAGGCATGATTGCTGTGTTGTTCAGTTTTCCCTAACCCTTTCTTTCTTTTTTAAAGTTTTTGTGGCAAGGGATGGTCCGATGGGTGGGCAATATATGTAGAAATAAAATGTAAAGACAAGGCATCAATAAAAATGAGATGTAAGAAAAAACAGAAACACTAAGCCTTCTGCCTATAACTGTAGAATATTCTATTATTCTGCACTGACCAAAAAAAAGAAAAAAAAAAGGCAAAAATTCATTTAGTGCTTTACAGTTTACAGTGATGGCCAATGTGGAAATTTGATTTGCATGACTTCAATGGGTTTTGTATTTCTTGCCTTCTCAGTGGCTGGGAGGAGGGAGAGAATTTGGAACTGAGAATAAAGTTGGATTAAAAAAAACAAAACCAAAATAACAGTTTACAATGTACTTAAAATATCCATTACTATTATCTGATGCTCACTCCAATCCTGTGACTTAGAGAGTGAAAGTATGGTTCTCCTCATTGTATACATAAAGAAATGGAGGCTCAGTGGGGGTTTAGGGACCCTCCTAGACTCAAGACTTTCACCTTCTGGCCTAGTCCTCTCTTTTTCCCACCCTGATGGGTCCTGGCTGTGCCCTTTATTCTGTGTGACAACCAGGGACATCTGAGTGATTATACTGAGGGTGGGTGCCTTTCTTTACAGTGATATCCAGCACCTGGAGTCTGGAGACCCAGGTTCAGATCCCAAGTCAGACCATGGCTAACTGTGTGGCCTGGGACAAGTCACTAGACCTCTGTTAAGAGTTTGTGTGCCGGTGTTTGCAGGGTGGAGGGGAAGGTGACCCGTCTATGGGAGCAAATGAGATAATATTTATACAAAGTACTTAGCACATAGCAGCTACGGTAGAAATGCTCATTCCCTTCCCTCCCCTGCTGATGGTTGATGCCTGAGGAGGGGTGTCACCTATCAGGGCTGGGATGGTAGGCAGCTCCCCTAAATCCTCCAAGAGCTCATGCAGAGGGTTCCGGTGATCTGGGGCGATTGAGTCCTGATGCTCCAGCAGCAGCTGAGAAGTAAGAGATGGGAGAGGTCAGAGTCGGGGCCCAGACTTGACCTCGGAACCTCCTCTCGCTCCCCAGTTATCTCAGTCCCCATGAGCCCAGAGCATCCCAGAGGGCAGGGTGGGCGCCAAGCCCTCTCCCCATTCCTCCCCTTCTTACCCTGTGGGTGTTAATGAGCTCTCCCACGGTGATGTAGACCATAGGCTTGGCCACAGCCACCATATCTGAGTACTCGTCCATGGCGAAGCGTTCCTCAGGCTCTGGTACGCGACAGGCTTTGCAGATGAACTTCCTGTCCCAGAGAAGGAGGGAGAGGTGTGAAGTGAGGGAACAGGAAAGCTCTCCAGCCTCAGTATCTCCATTAGTCATGATCAACTGCTCCAACATATTCTCTCACACACTCCCTGCCACCCCCCAAGACTTGTAGTGGGTTCCAAGTCAAAGCCTGGCCCAGACTCCCAGATTCCTCCTCCCCTTTGACCTATTCCATTCTCCTAGGCTGCCTGGAGACTCTATAACCAGAGGGTGACCTTAGAGATCAACAGTCCAAATTGATAATTTTATAGAGTATAGTAAAAAAAGGTCAACATCTGAAGTCAAGAGACTTGGGGGTTCAAATCCTGATATAAACAACAGCCAGTTTGTGTGGCCTTGGGCAGATTACTTAACTCTTTCAGCCTCAGCTTTCACCTCTGTAAAATGGGAACCATAATACCCAAACAACCTCCTTCACAGGATTGTTGTTGTGAAGAAAGCATTCTATCAACTTTAACATGATAGAGAAATGTAAGTTTTTAAAGATTTTTTCAAGAGACTTTTCCAAGGTCACACAGCCAACAAGGAATTGCTCTCCACTGAACACTCTTTCCATTGGACACCAGAATTCTTCTGTAAGAGGATTCTGGGTGGGCCAGCAATGCGGGAGGGAGAAGATTCCCACAGGGGCTGAGGACAGTTTGGGGCATGACCCACAGACCTGAACTTGAGGTGTGTCTCCTCCAGGTAGGAGTTCAGAACCCGAAGGTGCCCATTCTCCCCAGAGAAGGGCTTGCCGGCTGCAGCATGCTGGAGGAGCTGGGCTATGGCCCCCAAGACGTGGCGCTGGGAGGATGTTAGGGCCCCACCTGCTGCCAGGTCCACGATGTCGAAGGCATCGGGGGCTACCACGGCTGGGTTCAGGAATCGGTAGTACAAGAGGTTCCCTACTACCTGAGGATGTAGAGGAAAGGAAGAGAATCACAAGCCAGCTCCCATCAGGTGTCAGAGCCCTCTGGGACCTTTGGGGTCCAGTCCAAGGCTCTCAAGGGGGCTTGCCTAACATCCCACAGTAAAGTGAGGCAGAGTCAGGCCTGCCTCCACCAGCAGAGTCCTAGAAGAAGTGGAAAATCCAGTTCTTTTAGCCTCAAGGTTTAGGTCAGTTTAATTCTCCTTCCTTGGAGTTCCACCGCATTTGCCTTTCTTCCTTGCTCTTCTTCTGGGGAGAGCTCTGGGACCAACAAGGCTAAAAAAGAGGCTGTCCTGTTTGGAGACAAGGAGATGGACGGGTGACCCTGACCATCCTAGGCACTCACCTTACAGATCTCACTTTCTGTAGCACTGGGAAACTTCTCAGCCAGGGAAGTCTTCAGGACCTTTGCAACATAACGCATCCCATACCTGAAACAGTAGAATAGGGGGCTTACCACATCACCCTCCTCATTCCTCTCCCCACCCCCAACATCAACTGCATCAAAGAGAGAACTTCTCTATTTGTTGTCCTTTAATGTCATCTCTGAAAATGAAGATTGAGGGACTCCTGCTAGGTTTCCAACTGTACCCCCCTCAGATCTTTTCCATACTTTTGTTTTTTTTTGCTTTTTGGGCAGGCGGTTGGGGTTAGGTGACTCGCCAGGTCACACAGCTAATAAATGTCAAGTGTCTGAGGCCGGATTTGAACTCAGGTCCTCTGGATTCCAAGGCTAGAGCACTATCTACTGTACCACCTAGCTGCCCCTTTTCTATGCACTTCTTGGCCCTGTCCCTTCCTCTGCATCCCCACTGTCACCACCCTGGTATAGGTTTTGGATGCCCCATGCTGGTCTGACCTCGCCCTTCCTCCAATCTGTCTTGCACAGACACCACCAAATTTACCTTCCTTGAGCATCATGTTCCTTCCCTGCTCAAGCACCTCCCATAGCTCCCTATAACCACACGTCCAACGTCTACATAACCTTTGCAATCCTGGAAGTTCATCAAACCCAGAATTCTGAATGGTCTCTAAATGTGGCACTGAGAAACATGCCATGGAAGAGTACAGATGCCTGCCATGGTGTTTGTTAGCCGGCCTTCAAGGTCAAGGACTAACCAACCAAGTAGGAAGCCTTCACTGAACACAGAGTATATGCCTGGTCCTATGATAAAAATATACCTCCAACATCTTGGCACTCCCTGAATATTAACAATAGCATATATATAGCTAGCATTTATTTAGAACTTTGGGTTTGCAAAGTGCTTTCCATACAATAATAATAACTAACATATATAGCGCTTGCTACATGCTAGGCACTATCCTAAGCACTTAATTATTATCTCATTTCACTCTCACGACAACCCGAGGGAGATGCTGTTATTATCCCAGTTATACAGATGAGGAAACTGGGGCAAAAGGGTTAAGTGACTTGGCCAGGGTCCCACAGCTGATAAGTACCTGAGGCTGGATTTGAACTCAGGTTTCAAGTCCAACACTCTATCCGCTGTGCCGCCTTGTGGCCCTCATAGAGTTTTAGCTGCAAACACTTGACCTCTATGCTGCCCTTTGATCCTCACAAAAGCATCTCTCCAAAGGCCTACTATGATGCCTCATCATGGTTTAAGGGTGACCCTAGGTTCCTGAAGAAATGGTCTACCATGCTTGAAAGACTTCAGTCAACAACTAACAAACATTTACTAACATTTTATTAATATTATTAGTATTTATCTGCATGCTCAGCGCTGTGGACACAAAGAGGTCTCCAGGAGCTCACATTCTAGGCAGGGAGACGATGTGTAAATAATTATGTAAGTACAAGTTATATTAATGGGAGGTGACCCAACAGAAAGGCATTGGAGCAGTCGGAGGCCTGGGAATGGCCTCCTGTAAAGGGTGGGGTTTGAGGTGACTCTCGAAGACAGCCAGGAGGCAGAGCACTCCAGGCAAAGGAATTCCAGCCAGTGAAAAGGCCCCACAAGGAAGTAAACTATAAGAAGACTGGATAGGTAGGAAGGCACCAGGCTTGTGGAGGACTCTAAAAACCATCTGATCAATAAGCATTTATTAAGCACTTATGGCATGCCAGGCACAATGCCAAGGCATGGGTATACAGAGAATGGCAAAAGACAATTCCTGCTTTCAAGGAACTCAGTCTAATGGGGATTTTATAGTTAATCTGGGGGGAAGGGGGAGTCTATTGAATAGGGAAGTGACGTGGTCAGACCTGTGTTTCAGGAAAATCATTTTGGTGCCTGTACGGAAGATGGACAGAGTTGGAGTGAGCCATACCCAGGCTATTGCAACAGTTCAGGTATTAGGTGATGAGAGCCTGCACCACAATGGTGGCAGTGTTAGAAGAGAGAAGGCAACAGATACAAGAGATGTTGTGAAGGCAGAAACAATAAGACTTGGCCGCTGATATGTGACGTGAGTATGAGAGAGAGGAGTCAGTGACACAGAGCTAGACAGCCTGGGTGTCATGGTATCACTCTATGTCTGCTTTACAAGAGCCTGCCTAGCTAAGTCAGGAGGGGCTTCCCCATCCCCCACCAATAGGCTGGCCACTTGGTGACGAGGTCTTTGGCCAGAGCAACTCATAAAATAAAGAAAAAGTATAAACTACCCTCAGTCTTATTCGGCCTCTTTCCTCACCTACAGGGACAACGTCAGAAGGACAGAGAAGGAAGCAGAGGGTATAAGAATCACAGTTCTTAGACCATCCCTAAACATTAACTTAGCTGTTGATACTCTTAATGGGAAGTCCTCATCTAGCAGACATCTTCCTGGAAAAAATTAACTAGATGCTGGATGACCACTTGTTGAGCACATTATGGTGGGGATTCCATTTGGGTATGGATCCCATTAGAAAGCTACTCTCAAATTCTGTGATTTTGACATTCTTACTATAAATGAAACCATAGACTAAAAGGAAGTTATAGCTGAACACAGGATGGCTCACAACTTCTCCTTGGAGAGGCAAATGGAGGAGATGAGGAGACTCGGTTTTTTTGTGGTCCAAGGGCAACAGGAAAACAGCATTTCACAGGATATTCGGCCATCTCTTTTTGTTGTGTTGATAATAAAAATTGGAAGAAAAGATCATCATGGAAATAACTGCAACTTATACACCCACAATTGTTGCTGAGGAAATGGAGGTAGGGAAATTCTCTGAAGAATCTGATAAGACATTCCAAATGGAATCAACTTGTTGACCTCAAGTCAAAGATGGCCAAAGGGGAGAATGACAAAAATGCTGGAATGGAAAACTTGGTTCAGGAATAAGAAACAAGAGAGAACAAAGGCTAAGAGACTGTAGAGAAGCTTCACGCCTACATGGCATGACTATTTTCTTCAATGAGAGGGGAGGTACTGGACACTGGGAACACTGAATTTTAAAAAATCACCAAAAAATGAAACGGATTATATTCTAACAGACAGGAAATGACTGGTTACAGATGTGGGAGTCATTTCCAAATCAGCTGCCTACATTTAGATCATCAATTTGTTACAGCAAAGACCAAAATCAAAACCAAATTAAAATGAGAAGATAAGCAATTAAAAAAACTTCCACCTAGATAAAAGAAAAATCAACATGGACTTTGATACAACAGAAACCAAAAGAGCTTAAAACTCACCTCAGCCAGCAAACGCTTGACATCCTTGACAAGTGAAGAGAGACAAGATGGTTTAGAATATAAATTTGCTTGGTACAAGATTATAAACAATATCATCTCATAAAATAGTGAGAGCAGTGGGAAGAACAACACGTTTGCAGAGTGCTTGTCAAGGGTCCAACTAGGCAGATTATCCCAAAGGCATCCAAAAATTTTAATATAATAATAATAATAATAATGGCTGGCATTTACATAGCACCTACTAAATGCTGGGCACTATGCTAAGAACTTTACAACCATTATCTCATTCAATCCTTACAATAACCCTGCTATTATGATCCTCATTTTACAGTTGAGGAAACTGAGACAGACAGTGGTGACTTGCACAGGGTCACACAGTTAATAAGTGTATAAGGCTGAAATTGAATTCAGGTCTTCCTGACTCCAGGCTCAATATTCTATTCACTGAGTCACCCAGCTAGCTCAAAGGACAAGGAACTAGCCAGAAAGGAAAAACTATTTTAAAATTTCTCCAACCCTTTTCTCCATCATTGACAATGGAGCCAGAACATCTAAACTCTAATATATCAGTCCACAATATACTACAGGAAGAGAAAGAAATGGTAAAAATGGGATGAGCAGTGGCATCGGACTAAGAAAGCACAGATGCTGAAGGTGACGTCATTATTTGATATCTTCAGCTAGATGTCTGAAAGAAGAGAGGATACACCAAATGCTTGGGGGAAAACCATGCACCTTATTGTTACCAAGAAAAGATGATTGAGAGAGACCCAGGGACCCATACACCTACTTTGCCATCTCTAAAATAATCTTTATGAGAACGCAAGTATTGAGGGTATCTTTGATTGAAGGTATGAGAAAGAAGACTTGCAAATGTTAATCTACAGCAGACTGGGTCTTTACAGTTACACAATTCCTGGAAAGAATTGGAAGGAAGACAAGATCTCAAAGTGCTTGTGGTTTGCTGATATATGGTCCAGACTATAATTGATTTGGTACAGTAAAATCGCACCTTAAAGGCTCCCTTCCAACAAGGTGTTGCCCATGTATATGTCAAAGCCACTCAAGAGTCCTTGAAAAGGTGTGACAACAGAGATCCATCCCTTTGTTCAACAACTCTCTGATAATTAACATCAAGGGATAGAGACTGGACTTGTGATTTCACTGGTGAGGAAACTCCCTCTACCAATGCCAACTCCCCCTATGAAGATTAGAGCCTTCTCTGCAATTTATTGTCTTAGAGACCTGCCTAGAGCACTAAGAGTCAAGCTTGTCAAAGATGTTTGTCACCATCATAAAGAATGTCCAGGGCAGAGTCCAGATTCTCTATAGGTGTTTAGATCTTCTGGATGCTTCTGTGTGTAGACAATGTTGTGCTGATCGCATGAAGTCTCAGAACACTGAAAAGTCCCCTAAACAACATACATTATCACCCAAAAGAGTCTGGCTGAACTATGCACACAGGAAAAACCAAGTGGATGAAGAATGACTATTGTCTGGACTGTGATATGTAGTTAGATGGACAACCCAAAGAGTTGGTCCATTCTGTATTTATATTTTGAATGGACACTGGGGAGAAACGATAAACTGGGCCCAGAACCAAATAGAAGAGTGAGTTGGGTTACCTTTGGAAAATTGTACAATGCTTTTAATGACCCCAAAATTCCTTTTGAGACAAAGTTACCTTTAAAAAAACCTCTTTATTCTCCCAGTAATGACAGATGGTTGAAAGTGACAGAAGATGAGATTCTCCAAAGAATAAAGCTATGAGTCTACCAGAAGACAATAGAGTGGTGTATGGTAGATGTGGGTAGATTGTGACATATCACCAATGAAGAAAGGCACAGGAGAAGGGGCATAAAGGATACCATCAAAGAAAAATAGAATTGGAAAAGGAAATTGAGTCAGGCACAAAGTGAGAGTGTAATGCACATGAAGGCCTTCAGGACACTGGATGGACTTTCCATGGAAGATTCACAGGAGAATCTGTACAAGAGCTGCACAATATGAGAAGCAGATGGGTGGAGATCTGCATCACAGAAGGAAGCACTCACGTGGATGAGACCACAGATCCCATAGAATGTAAACTCCTTGAGGGCAGCTACTGATTTGTTTTTGTCCTGGTATTTCTAGCTGCCAAACAGTATCTAACACATACAGTAGTAGTTCTTTTATGAATACTTGTTACATGGACCAAGTCATCCAAGTATACCAACACTGAGGTACACATGTAGAGACTGAAGCTAAGTTCAATTTTAACTGTCTGAAGTCAAACAGCTAGTAAACAGCAGAGCTAGAACCAAGAAACAACCCTATCTTCTGACTCCAAGTGTAGTGTTCTTTCCATGATAATGTTGTTGTTCAGTTGTTTCAGTAGTGTTTGACTCTTCGTGACCCTGTTTGGAGTTTTCTTGGCAAAGATATTGGAGTGGTTTGCCATTTCCTTCTCTAGCTCATTTTATAGATGAGAAAACTGAGGCAAACAGGGTTAAGTGACTTCCCCAGGGTCACACAGTTAGTCAATGTCTGAGGCTGAATTTGACCTCAGGCCTGGTGCTCTATCCACACTACACCACCTAGCTGTCCTTCCATAACACATTGCCCTTAATAGCTCATTTTTGAGTCTGTTCATGAACTTCTTTCTTTCTTTCTTTTTTGGTGAGTGACTTGCCTAGGGTCACACACCTAGTAAATATCATGTGTCTAAGGCTCGATTTGAACTCTGGTTCTCCTGACTCCAGGGCCAGTACTCTCTCCACTGAGCCACCTAGCTGCCCCCATGAACTTATTTCTATGGACTCTTCCTGAGCTCATTTTTAGGTTCCATTCCCCACCTCTGGGGAACAGAAGACCACCCTAAGTCTACTATGCAGCGTGTACTTCTTGTCTCTTCCACACTTTAAAAGGAAGCCCCTTGTCTTTTCTCCCAAGGTTAGTCTACTTACCCACATAACATGTATATTCTGGCTTCCCAGCTCAAGGCTGTTGTATGTGTCACCCGCAGCATATTCCACCCAGCACACAGTGTCAGGCACAGTGCTGGATAAATGTCCACCGGATGAATGGATGGACAGAAGGGTGGATGAATGGAGTGGGCATTCACCTTATCCATACATGCCATGATTTTAGGAATCTTGAGAAACAGCACGGTTTAGTGCAAAAAGGGCTGGATGGGGAATCAGGAATACCTAGGTTCAAACCCTAGCCTAGCCACTTATTAGCTAGGTGGCCATTCACTTCATTTCTCTGGGCTTCGTTTCCTCATCTGTAAAATGGGGATAGTAATATACTACCTACCTCACAGGGTGGTTGTGAGGAAAGTGCTTTGTTAACCTTAAAGCACTCTAGGAACCTGGGCTACCACTGTTGCTATAATTCCCTCTAAACCTTTGTCTTTCCAGGCTGAAGAGTCTTGATGTTTTTAGTCTATCCTCATGTGGCAAATCCACCTATCTCTTCCTCCCCTCAACACCCCCTGCCACCATTAAATTTAAATGCTCTTCTCTAAGCCTTCTCTGTCACCACCTGGCCTTTTTTTTTTCCTCCTTAAGTGCAATGAACAAAACCACAAGGTATCCCAGGTCTGACTCCCCAGGAAGGATCTTTAAGGCACACCTGTCCAATCCTGGGCCTCACTCCTCCACTCCTACATCAAAGCTCTCCTGGTCCAAAATGTCAGCTGTCCATATCCTTCCTTCCTCCCCAACTCTACTCAACTCTTTCCTCCTCAGGATCCTTCCAGGTTGACACCCCATTACCCAGCTCTTCCCTTCCAAGCTGCCCCTCCTTGCCCCGACTACCTTATCTCAGACCTGATAGAGTTTTCACCAATTCAATTCTCTGCCTGAGCTAGGAGCCTACATACGGAATCTGGTCCACGGATGAGGTGATAGCTGCAAGAAACTTCTCTGTCACAGAAAGAAGATTTCGTAGGGAGATGTCCATCCTTCTCTGGACCTCAGGATGACTCAGGGCCTGCTCAGGGGTAACATCATAGGGAAGGTGGCTGTGGACAGAGAGAGTCAAGGGGTTGGTTCATTGTGCTACCTCCATGGTCTAAAATTACAATGCCACCAATCTCAAGGAAATCCCAGTCCCCAAATAAATCCATATAATGACCTGAAATTCAAAGACCTTGCTCAGAGCAACCCTATCAGAAGGGATCAGGAAACAGCAAAGAAAAGAGGCTAGGGAAGATAGGAGGGATTCTAATGGGGGAGAGGCTTCAAGGAAAGGAAGAGAAAAGGGGGACGGCAGAACCTACAGATCTGGGGAATGAGCCCCAAAAGGGACAAGGAAGGAGAGCAGACAAAATGGGCAGGTCTGGAAACAGAGGCTAAAAGGAAAGTGTCTTTATACCAGAATAGCTGGCAGTCCCTGAGTCTGCTCTGGAGCAGGCCTGAGGGAGGGGGAAGGGGACAGAATGGGTTAGAATAGATTCCCCCCTCCCCCTTCCTTCAGTTTGAGAAATATCTTCACCCTGTATACATGGCCCTATTGAGCCAGCCACTCCCATGAAGTTACCTTGCTTCTCTCACTAAGCTACACATCTGGCCTCTAAACACACACCTGCACATTTGCTTCCCTAGATTCCTACATGAAAACCCCAATTCTGTCAGGCCACCATGTTGGATGAGGCATTTGGCTACATTTGCCTGGCTAGGCTGCAGAGAGCTCCATACAAGTATCCATACCCACAACCCAGCAATCCTGATCTGTCATTTGTATTCATGGACTTAGCAATTGAGCACATTTGCATATGGTCTCATTTGCATAAATCCCATGACAATCACCATAAAGGGATATCTCATTTCTCCCTTTCCTACTTACCCCCACCCCTTTATTTTTCCATCGAAGCTGACACTTAATTTACACCAACTAGCATTGTCATTTGCTTGCCACCTTCAAAGGTCTTCCACCCCACCCGTGTAACCTAAGATCAAGGTGATAAAAGACAATCTGTCAGCTCCCTACTTGTCCTGGCCTCCTCACCTCCGCTGCCCAGTCTGGGCCTCCATCTGGTTGATCCAGGTCTTATAGAGGTGAATGGGGTCGGTGTGGACACTGAGTGTCCTGTCCTCAAGGACACTCTGGATCACCTCGCCCAAGATCTCTCGCAGTGCGCTCTGTCCCCGGCCATTGCGGTAGAAGCTAACCACCAGCTTGACTACTGTTGGGTTGCCCATCGCCATATCCTGGGGCTGTTCAACTTTGGATCTAGGATACAAGGAGACATTCTTTTCCACTTTCCAGACTCCACATAGCACCACACTCCCCACCAAACCAGTGAAAAGCATGGTGCCATGAACTAACTACTGAATAGTTTCTGGGAGAAACATGTGGGGCAGTGGCAAAAGCACTAGTTTTGGCGTCAGGAGACCTAGAGCTCTATTAATTATGACTTTGCTACTTCCTCCCCATGTGGCCTTGGGCTAGTCACTTCTTCCTGAGGGCCTCAGCTTTTTCACACGTAATATGGGAGGAGGTCAGGCTAGATGACTTCTAAATCCTACCATCCTTTTTGACCCTTGCCTAGGCAAGGCCTCAGTTCCTTAGGAACTTGTTTTTGGGTTTCCAGTGCTTAAAGGGAAGTCCCTTTGTCTAGCCGATATCCTTCTTGCTAATGTGTTCACATGTGGTGTCATATCTTGTCCCTGCCAAATGGCCACCATGGAATCTCGGGGTCCCTCCACCCCTGACCCAGAGTAAGAAGACAAGGAAGGAGTCACCCAGGCCCAGTTCTCTACTCTCACACCTGAAGAAATGGTTATTCATTTTGGTTATTCAAGACTTCTAGAAATAAACACTCCCTTGGGAAGTGGTTCTGGTATCTTCCAACACTAAGTCCTTCCTTGTATAAGTCTTAAGTTATTCTTGGTGTTTTCCTCCTATACCCACCTGCCTGTCACACTTACTTGATTTCCTCCTGGAGAGCAGTCTTAAAGAGCTGGAGAAGGAGGTAGGCTTCTCGTCGATTGGAGGCATAATTGTACAGGGTGAAAATGACCGACTCCATAAATTTTGTGGTCTTGTTCTGTGGCATCTGGAAGATCAGCTTGGCCAGGTAGATGGGCTGGGTCTGCAGAAGAGAGGGAGAGGAATGGCTGTAAACAGAAGCAAGAAGCCTATAGATGAGATCCGTAAAAGGGGTACCTCTTAGATGGTAGAGAGATCTCTGCCAGCTGGGCAGGTGAGAGGCAGCGACTTATGAGGAAGGGGGACAGATGTCATAACCTCAGGTCACTGCAGATGTCAAGGGAGAGGTCACGAGGGTCCCGCGTTACCAGCAAGGCTGACTCACACAAGGCAAGAAGATGGCCATGACCATGGGAGGGCCCCGACCCTCAAGGGAGCCGGTGGAGCAGAGGGCAGGGCTTCTTTCTCCTTCCAGCGTCCTCTACTCACCTGGAGCAGGTAGAAGAGGTGTTGGTAAGCCTCTAATTTCTGCCGTTTCTCTTTGCTCAGTGACTTTAGTCCTTTCCGCCTGTCTGGCACCATCATATCTGACAGATGCTCCTTGTTCTTCTTGGTCAGCTTCTTGCTGTGTGAAACAACCTCCTGGGGGTGAGAAGAAGAGAGGGGAACCTCGAGATCCAGCCCAGAACATATGGTCTGACGCTGGAGCTGGGGCAGAGGCAGAGTCTCACCTTTTAGCAGCCTAGAGCTGCAATTTAAGATGTGGAAGTGAACCTGGGGCAATTGATGAATGGAGGGAGAGCGAGGAGAGGGAATGACAACAACAGCAACTAGCATTTATAGAGTACTTACTATGTGCCAGGCACTGTGCTGAGCAATTATAATCTCATTTAATAATAATAATAGGTAACATTTATATAGTACCTACTATGTACCAGGCACCATGCTAGGTGCTTTATAATTATTATCTCATTTGATCCTCACAATAACCCTGGGAGGTAGGTGCTATTATTGTCATCCCCATTTTATATCTGAGGAAACTGAGGCAAACAGAGGTTAAGTGACTTGCCCAGAGTCACACAGTTAGGTCTGAGGGTCTGAGACCAAATTTGAACTCAGGCAGGTCTTTCTGACTCCAGGCCTAGTGCTCTATCCTGATCCACCCAGTTGCGTCAATCAGCAAGGTGAGAAGTAGGATAGAATCAAAGGTGAAGACCAGAGTGAGGGGTGACTTTTTCAGTGGTCACTCTACTGAGAATGGCACACTCCCTTTCTACCCTGAGGGAAAGAAGGGCAGAAAAGAAAGCACAGTTTATGCTGTAGGAGGCAAGGAAGAGGCAGAAGGGACAGGAGGAAGGAAAACAATATTGTATGAAAAGGGATTCTCTTTGGGGGTCGCCTCCTGGACTCTATCCATTAAGGATTGATAGGAACAAAGCAGGAAATGAGGGCTTTGACTAGAATGTTCTTGCTGCAAAGAAGGATTCAAACTGGAATGAGGAACTGGGAGAATTCATGAAATCCAGAAATTTTAAAGAAAGAAGATGGCAATGATTGGGTCGGGGACCCCTCCTAGGATGCAAGGGAATGACCAAGAACACGCCTCAAGGGCATAACAGTCTATAAATGCTACGGAGAATAATGATGCTGATTCATGTTCATACAGCAATGTGAAGGTGTACAACCCACTTTCCCCACCTGTAGAGGGGGTAAGTTTAAGTGTTATTATGGCCGATTTTACAAATGGAGGAAATTGATTTCCCTTCGAAGAGCCCAGATTTGAACCTAGGTCTCCTGACTGTACATCCAGGGCTCTGTTCCCTGCCTATGCCGTGATGCCCCCGAAGGCAGGATGGGAGCAAGCGATACAGATCAATACGAACTATCTACTGTGGCAGCTAGGTGGCGCCATAGTGCACAGAGCCCAAATTCGGACTCTCGGACGCTTACTAGCTGTGTGACTCTGGGGCAAGTCACTTCACCTCTGTTTGCCTCAGTTTCCTAAACTGTACAATGAGGATTGTAACAGCACCTACCTCCCTGGGTTGCTGCAAGGATTAAACGAGACAGTATTTGTAAGGCACACTTAGCACAGTGCCTGGCACACAGTAGTCTCTCTCTCTCTACGACGATGGGCTGGAGCCCGAGCGCCCGGCGTGGGCTCTGCCGCGTCACCTGCAGCGTGACTCTGTTCTTCACCAGCAGACCAATCTTGATGTCCATCAGGTTGAGGTCTTGCTCCAGTTGCTGGTTGGACCGGATTTTCCTGACCACCTCCTCCTGGAGCTTCAGCAGCTCCGCCTCTTCCCAGAAATCCTGCTGCCTCTGGTCCAGGAGGTGGGCAAATCGACACACCACACTGACAGGGGGGTGCTGATCGTGGACTGGAGGGAGACAAGGGCGGGGAAGCTAGGAGAACCCTCCTTGATGGTCTCACCAGCCCCTACTTCCTGCTCCTTTACTGCCCTCTGTCCGTTGTGGAGATGGAGTCTGGGAGCTCCATGCCGCTAACTAGGATACCCTTCCATAAAATGTGACCCTCGCCCTGCACCCTGACCATGCCGTTAGCCTGCTTCTTCCTTTCCTTCTGTTCTTGGCAGAACACACACACACACACACACACACACACACACACACACACACACACACACACTAGATTTTTTTTGTATGTAATGGTATTTTTTCCCCAATTACATGTAAAGATAGTTTTCAACATTCATTTTTACAAGATTTTGATTTCTAAATTTTTCCTGCTTCTAATACATACTGTCCATTTCCAAGTTCCCCGACTTCCTAAGTCCCAGCCCTGTGCCTTTCTATCCAGATCTCCTCAGATTTGGATGACAAGAGCCTCCTGTCCAGCCTTTCGCCAAAGGTGCCCATATCACACCCAGATGCCTGAAGTGGCTTTTTAGGGAACTGCTTCAGTCCCATTCATTGTCTTGTCCCCAAACCTACAGTTCCCTCCAATGATCTTTCCCACCCAATTCCAGTTCTCTGGACTGGGCTACTCATAGGGTCATAGATTTAGAGCTGAAAGGAATATTAGAAGCCACTTAGAATCCAAACTCCTCATTTCATAGATGAGGAGGCTGAGGCAGAGAGAGGTCATGGGACTTGTCCGGGGACACACAGCTAGTAAGTGTCTGAGGCTAGATTTGAACTCAGGTGTTCCAGACTCCAGGCCCATCACCTTATCTATTCAATGCAGCACCTAGTGGTATTAAAAAAATAAATAAATAAGAGAGCAATGGATGGTCTTTGTGCATTCATGTGAATGAAAAAATTCAGCACCTGATCACCTTCTGGTGATAGGGCTTTCTAAAGCTGGCTGGGCTGGATCTCAGACAACAGACACAGTTTGCTCATTGATGTATTACAATAAAACCTATTAATCTTTTAGACAGTCTGGCTATTAATCTAAGCCTATTGCTATGACAGCTGATAATAGCTAGAATCTATGCCATCAGAGCAGGAGTTTCCCAAGAATTGGGATTATGTCTCCTCCTGCCTAAAGATCTCCCCTTAAATCAAGAGAAATGCTCAGGGATGGGGGAGGTTGACTGGTGACTGTGAGGTGAGGGAAATCAGGCCCAGAGAGGTAAAGCAACTTGCTTAAAATCACACAGCAGGCTCACTACCGAAAATAGTAAACATCTTCCATTGAGATGCAAACCAACTTACTTAGCATCCTATAGTCATCCCGGGCTCTCCTGGCTCGGAAAAATGCCTGGATCTTCACAACTGAATTAATCTGTTAGTGGGCAGAGAAAGAAAATGAAAGTAACCACCTTCCCCGTCCTCTTCTCCTGCTTGCATGGGTTGAAAGGTGACATACAGGGAAGATGAGAAGCCAGCACTTACATTCTCCTCGAAAAAATTTAGTCTTTCCTGATACCTCTTCCGAGCCACCCACATCCGGGCACAGGCTTGGATCTTTGGGAGGGAGAGACAGTATTAGAGATACACTGTTCCCATCAGGGCTACAAACACACCCTTGCTTACAAACCCCAGGCTGATGTCATCCATCCAGAATTCACATAAAACAGTAACAACTTAAATGGGGATCTAACAGGTGCTTAGAGATCTTGGCTTCCCCCTTTAGTGTCAGTCATATTTCCATTCACAAGTTATTTTTTGTATTGCCGGGCTTAATACAGTGCCTGGTATATGTTGTTGTTCAGTCATTTCTAAATCATGTCTGACTCTTCATGACCCCATTTAGGGTTTTCTTGGCAAAGTTACTGGAGTGGTTTGTCCATTTCCTTCTCCAGCTCATTTTACAGATGAGGAAACTGAGGCAAACAGGGTTAAAGGACTTGCCCAGGGTCACACAGCTAGTAACTATCTGAGGCTGGATGTGAACTCACAAAGATGAGTCTTCCTAACTGCAGACCTGGCTCTCTATCCACTGCACCATCCAGCTGCCCTGGCACATGGCAGGTGCTTAATAAATGTTTGTTGAATTGAATTTCCTTCAGTACCCTAGGAAGGATAATCTAAGAGTCCTTTTGTATAATAGTGGGATGCAACAAGGGCAGAGAAACATAGATCTGCTTAGAAATAGCTAGAAGAAGTATTAGTCATAAGCTGCATCACTATCCACTCTGGGTGAGGCAGAGCAAAAGCACATAGCTGGGAATGGGCTGTCTGGGTTCAATGCCCTGGCTCCATCAATAGATGTGCTGTGTCACTTGGAACAAGTCACTTAACCTCCCTAGGACCCCTGGATTACCAGCTTCAAAAGGCTATGAAGCATTTTATAGGATCACATGATTTAGGGCCAGAAGGGACAGCTGAGGTCCAATCCCTCATTCTATAAATGAGGAAACTCAGGTCCAGAAAGGAAGGACTCATATGAGGTCTCATAAATAGGAGAGGCAGAGAGGGATGGGGAAAAAAGAGGGGGAGGGTAATAACAGATTTAACAGAGATTAAACAACTTATCCAAACTCATTCACCCCAGTCAGTCCCTCTGCCTCCTTACTATCAGCCTAAGGCTCAGACCATAAGACCATTTCCTCTAAACATTGCAAAAAGGACAGATTAAGAAATTCCTTCTAACAAGTCCTTTGTGGGGAGAAAAAGAGAGTCCCCAGAAGCCCAACTATGAGTACCTTCATCACAGAAGCCACATTTGCCTTTAAGAACCTCATCCGTTCTCGGTAGATCTTCCTCTGCTGGTAACCTCTCCAATGAGCCTGCAAATTGGGACAGAAAAGAAATCATCTGCAAAAAATCTTTTCATTCAGATTTTCAATTTTTGCATTCAGATTTTTTCTCTTAGATGCTCAGGCGTCAGGGTACAGACTAGAGAAGACTGAGAATTTGAATGTTTCCAAATTCAAATTCAACATTTATTAATTACCATATTAACTACGTGCCTAATGCTATGCCAGACGCTGGGACAAGGGTGAAAATAACACACATTCTACTGAGACGGCTGGAGGAGATGGGGGAAAGCACAATATGGACTTAGATAAATTTGATACAAGGCAGGGAATAATGGGGTAAAAGGGCCATCCAGACAAAATGCTCTAGGCAAATCTGGAGGGCACCAGGAAAGGCTTTGTAGAAGAAGTGACTTCTGAAAGGAGCTTTGAAGGAGACCAGGAGTGTGATGGAGAGAGATGAATGAAAGAACTGTCTTTTAGCAGTGAGGACTCAACTAAGGTTGGACAATACGAATTTGAAGAAGGCCCAGTATGCATGGTTTACTAACTTCCTCCACTGGCTCTATATTAGGAATGGAAAAGGCAAACTGTAGTGGTGATGCTGAGGATTAACAAAGGTGAATGGTCAAAGGACAAAGGGGCACAGGATTTACATGTATCCTTGTGAAGCCTGATCCAATCCTACCTTACATGTCCCAATCACCCAGCAGTGTTACAGAGACACAAACCAATACCCATAAGAACATGGTTCAGAGACATGTAGATTGAGAGCTGGAAGGAGCCTTAGGCATCATGGAACCCAACCTCCTCATTTTACATATGAGAAAATGAAGTCAAGAAAGGTTAAATAACTGGCTCAAGGTCATATGTCATAAACAGCAGGGTCAACATTTGAACCAAGGTCTCTTGATGCCCAAACCAACAATCTTTCCACCATACTTCTCTCCCTCACACAAGCACCATTCATCCATACAAATCCTTATTTTTGCACCAAGAGCAATCACTCATCCAAACACAATCACGGACCCGGTATACTCACAGGGCGTTATCCATCCCCTCACCCCCTCACATGCACATATGCATGTGGCAAACACACAAAGAGCCTTTCCACTCACAGGACAATATCCATGTTGTATACACATAGAGAAATATACACTCTTATATACACAACACACATAAATATTTGTGTGTGTAATTTACATATACATATACACACATATATATGTGTATATATGTATAAATAAACATACACACACACGTAAACATTGGTATATATTATCAGACAGCTTGAATTCTGTACAGTAGACATCTTAACTCAATATGTCTAAAATTGAATCATTATCTTTCCCCCTCTACCCTCTCCCTTTCCTACCTTCCCTATTATTATAGAGGGCAATGCCATCCTCCCAATCCCTGAGGCTCACAACCCAGGAGTTACTCTGGACTTCTTGCTATCTCTCACCCTCCCCCGCCCCCCATATTCAATCTGTTGCCAAAGCCTGTTGATTTCACCTTTGCAACCTCTCTCAAATATGCCCCCTTCTCTCCTTTGACACTGCCACTCTGGTGCGGACCCTCATCACCCCATGTCTGGATTACATCTGGATAGCCTGCTGCTGGGTCTATCTGCCTTAAGTCTCTGCCATCTCTAATCCTTTCTCATTAAAGTGATTTCCTAAAATATCATATCACTCCCCTACTCAATAAACTCCAGTGGCTGCCTATTGCCTTCAGGGGCAAACACAAAATGTTGTTTGACATTCAAAACCCTTCATAAGCGAGGCCCCTCCTACCTTTCCAGTCTTCTTATACCCTATACTCCTCCATATGTACTCTTCAATTCAGTGACACTGGTCCCTTGGCTGTTCCACGAACAAGACATTCCATCTTTGGCTTCTGACATTTTTTCTGGCTGTTCGCCGTGCCTAGAATACTCTTTCTCCTCCATCCCAACTACTGACCTCCCTGGCTTTAAGTTCCCATTAAAATTCTACCTTCTACAGGAAGCATTCCCCAACCCCTCTTAATTCCAGCGCCTCCCTTCTGTTGATTATTTCCGATTTAGCAGGCACATACTTTATTTATACTTATTTGTCTGTGTGTTGTCTACCCCTTTACACTGTAAGCTCCTTGAGGGCAGGGACTATCTTTTGCCTCTTTTTGTATCCCTAGGGCTTAGCACATAGCAGGCACTTAATAAATGTTTGATTGATGGATGTATAACATATACCAAATACACCCATATCTCCATACCTACATAGCTATACTACAGTGCTTACATACCACCAATCCACATGAACACCATACATACCTGTACAGTATATACCTTCACACACATAAAAACTCAAACAACCACACACATAAGTACGTGTCGTCATGCATACACACACACACTATCCTCCCTCCCTTTCTCCCTCCTCCCCATCACTCCACGTACTGAGCCAAGACCAAAACTCTTTCTATTTTGCTACAGAACAGATCATATGTAAAAAAGCAACAGGGAAGAGGGCTGAAAAAGCTGGTTAGACCCAGACTATGTGAGGCCTTGAATGTGAAGCTGAGACTGGGACCTCATTAAGTAGGCAATGGGAAGTTGTTATTCACTTGTGTCTGACTCTTCATGACCCCACCTGGGGTTTTTTTTGGCAAAGATGCTGGAGTAGTTTCATTCCCCAGCTCATTTTACAGATGAGAAAACTAAGGAAAACAGGGTTAAGTGATTTGCCCAGGGTCACACAACTAGTAAGGGTCTGAGGACAGATTTGAATTCAGGTCTTACTGACTCCAGGCTCAGTGTTCCATCCACTGTACCACCCAGCTGCTCTTTAGGCAATGGGAAGAGGGATCAGTAAATGCCTACTGAAAAAACTAACACACACACACACACACACACACACACACACACACACACACACATATCTATCTATAAAGTGCTTGGCCCAAGGGGAATGTAGAATGATAAAGGAGAGGAAGAAGAAAATGGATGAAGGAAAGATAACACATTTGATGAGATTGGTCCCACCAAAGTAACTTGCCCAAGATATTTATTGAGGAGGCTTTTGAAAGAGCAATCTTGAGCATGTCTGGGAAGGAGGAAAAAGGCAGAAGACACTTCTGTACTTCGAGAAATTTCTTCTGCCTCTCTACAATCCTGTTGTGCAATTTCAACCCCTCCTTTCTCTCTGACAGGAAATTTCCTTTCATTTAGTCCTTGGGGCAGACAAATAGGATTTCTATCTTCTGTGGAACAACTCTTTGGGGACCCAAAGACAATTTAGCTTTCACTCAGTATAGAAGATGGGGTGAGACACTGAAAGTCTGAGAAACCAAGAATCTTGAAGACCACTCTACCTGAATCTTAATAATGGCTGGGAGCCAGGTCTTTAGGAAATGGGAATGCTTGGCAAACTCCTGCCGAACAAGGAAGCCCCGCATCCGGGCCTGGAGCTGGATGATAAAGCCAATATTGGCATTCCAAAGCTGGTGTCGGTCATGGGCGGCAGTAACTGTTGTGATTGCTGCCTGTGGAAAAAGAATGGATAGTAGGGAGGGTTATACAGACCTGGAAGGCAGATGGGATGGTCAGGAAGGAAGTTTTGTCTCCAGCCCCGACCTCAACGTCATGCTTTCCTCCACCTATCACTTTGATCATTCACTCTACCTGTCTCCCTTCCTCATGCTCCTATAGTACTTTCTTCATTACATGAGAGTTCATCGGATCATTGCCTTTAGAGCTAGAATGGAAATTAAGATTACTTAGACCATTTTTTAGATTAAGAAACTGGAGGCCTAGTTTAGGGGAAGTGACTTGCCCAAGTCACATGGCTAATAAATGATGGTCGGAATATGGCTTTGCATGGGTATAACTTCCAGAAGAAGGTGAGCAGAAAGAACTAGGGGAGAGGTCTGGAAAATCTATTACAAGTCTGGCGTAGACACATATGATAGTGATGGGAGACTTCAATTATTTGAACATCCATTAGGACTCTTTCTGTCCAGAGAAGAGCAGCTAATAACTTTTAAAAAGATATTTTGCTAGGGGCAGCTAGGTGGCGCAGTGAATAGAGCACTGGCCCTGGAGTCAGGAGGATCTGAGTTCAAATTCGACCTCAGAGACTTGATACTTATTATGTGTGATCCTGGGCAAGTCAATTAACCCCAACTGACTAGCCAAAAAAAAAAATAAAATAAACTTTTAAAAATATATATTTTGTTAAATATTTACCAATTATAATGAACAATTTTGAGTTCCAAATTCTCTCCCTCCCTCCTGCCCCTCTCCTACCCCTAGAGAAGGCAAGTGATACATAGATTATACATATGAAGTCATGCAAAACATGCTTCCATAAGCTAATCATTTTTAAGCTTGCCTTTCTGACCATTCCATCCTTTCAAAGGTGGATGAAACAATGAGGAGACTATCTGTTCTAGATCTGAACTTCATCAACAAGGAAGAACTAGTTTCTAGGGGTGGAAACCTTGCTGAGAAATGAGCACTCCATCTTTGAACTGATGATAAGAGAATAAGAAAACAAGGCATAGTCTGTCATCAAATTTTGGGAGAGCAGATTTCAAAGGGTACAGTAGAAGAATAGGTAGGAGGCCACAGACTAAAATCCTGCAGAGACAGCCAGCTCAAGAGGGATGGTAAATTCTCCAGAGTGAAATTCTGAAGACACAAGGAGCAATTTTGATGAGGATGAAAGGATGGAGCTGTCTAAAGAACCTGATGAAGATGCACATGGAACTCAATGGCCAACTTGGGTTTTTAAAAGATGTGTACAGGGGCAGCTAGGTGGTGCAATGGATAGAGCACCAGCCCTGAAGTCAGGAGGACCTGAGTTCAAATCCAGCTTCAGACCAAACACTTGACACTTAAGTGACCCTGGGCAAGTCACTTAACCCCAATTACCTTAAAAAAAAAATGTGTACAGAACACGAAAAGGCAAATAATGGAGGAAGACTACAAAATCATGACCTGATGATCATAAGAGATGCACTTAGGCTGGTAAGGTAGGCTAAGAACAAAATGGCAGGAATTTTACTTATATTGGGAGAAAAGAGGGGGCTCCAAGAAGGAAGAGGACCAGTGCTCAGAGTAGATGGGTCAATCATAAGAGAAGATGGAGAGATGGCAGAACTGCTCCATTTTTAATTCACTTCTGTTTTCTCTGCCAAGGAGAATGACCTTTGGACTGAAAATGAGATAATAAATGATAGAGAGGGAGTTGTTACCCAAGATAAGGAGGTAAATAATAAGAGAGTGCCTCACTACCTTAGATGAATTCAAGTCATCCCAGTCAGCTAAAACTGAGGAAACTAAAAGAACTGGCAGATGTGATCGCTAAAGCTATGTCAATGATCTTTGAAAGAAGTGAATAGGAGTCACCACAGGACTGAAGAAGGGACTATTTTCAAAAAAATGGAAGAAAATGGAATCCATAGCCCCATGGAGGTTAATGAGATGGATTTCAATTCCTGGCAGGATTTGACAATGTATTATTAAAGGGATTGTCAGTGAACATCTAGAAAAGGAAGTAGTGATCACAAAGAGCCAGCATGGTTTCATCAAGAACAGGTCATGCCAGGGGCAGCTAGGTGGCGCAGTGGATAGAGCACTGGCCCTGAAGTCAGGAGGACCTGAGTTCAAATCTGCCCTCGCACCAAACACTTGACACTTACTAGCTGTGTGACCCTGGGCAAGTCACTTAACCCCAACTGCCTAAAAAACAAAGAAAACAAACAAACAAAAAAAACCCCAACAGGTCATGCCAGACTAACCTCATATCCTCTTTTTGACAGGGTTACTAGACTAGTCAATCAGGAAAACGTTACAGTTTACCTAGATTTTAATAAAGCATGACAAAAAATACCTCATGCTGTTTTAATGGAAAAGGTGAAGGCTGGAAACTGTAATATACTTAGGTAGATTTGAAAGTGGTTGAATGGCTGGGCCCAGAGAGAAGTTTTTAATGTTTCCATGTAAATTTGGAAGGTCTCTAGCAGAATGTGGGATTTGTACTTGGACCTATATACTATTTAACAGATTTATTTATGACTCAGATGGTCACAGCAGGGATGCTTATCAAATTTGCAGATAACACAGTGTTGGTAGGTACAAGTTAGCATGTTAAATGAAGATCAGGATTCAAAAAATTCTTTACAGATTAGAAGCCAGGGCTGAATTTTTATTTGGACCTGTGATTTCATCTGCACAAGGAACTTTCAGTTTAGAAACTCTCTCTACCAAAGCAATTCTTTGGTAACTTACAGTCAGAGAGTTTCCTGGTACTGAGAGCTTAAGAGACTTGACTGTAGTTACACTTAGTATGCGTCTAGAGGCAGGATTTGAACCCTGGTCTTCCTGACTAATACTGACTATATGGTCCTCTATTCATTATATCATACTACAAAATCTAAGATTAAATTAAATAGGGATATATACAAAGTCTGTTGCTTGTTTAAAAAAAATTAACTTTATAAGAAGTGGGTAGGGTTAGAAAAAAGTTCATCAGAAAAAAGTTGTGAGATTTTAGTGACTGTAAACTCAAAATTAAATACAAAAATATTTATAGCATCATTTTTTTGTAGTAGCAAAGAACTGGAAACAAAGTGGGTGCCCAATAACTGGGGAATGACTACATACACTATGACATATGAATGTAACAGAATATTATTGTGCTATGTGAAATAATGAATATGAAAAATAACTCCCACCTCACCTGGGAAGAAATCCAGGTCAGTTATGCCCTGGAGGCTTCAAGAGAGGATTGGAGGGGAGGGAGTGGGAAGAGAGGATGAAACCTAATGTGGGCACCCCATTTTAGGAAAGATACTGCTAATCTGGAAAGCATCCAGAAGACAGCAATCAGGACATGGCCAAGGGCCTTAAGATCAAGTCATATGAAGATCAGTCGACAGATATGGGGATGTCAGGCTAAAGACGAGGGGAAGACTTAGGGGGAGCAGGAGAGCTGCCTTCAAGTATCTGAAGGGCCACCACGCGGAAGGAGAATTGGGCTGGCTCTGCCTAGTCTCAGAGGGCAGTGCTTGATAGCGGAAGTTGCAAAGAGAAATTTAGGCTTGATATGAATGAGAACACCTGTTGGCAGTCAGATCTATCTCAAAGTACAAGGGGCTACCCTCACGGAAGAGTGGCCTTCTTCTCCCTCGAGTTCTTCAGACCAGCTCTTCTTGTTTAGGTGAGGGTCAGACTAGATGATTCTGCGATTTGGAGTCCAGGGCTACCCACTACAGAACTCTTTCGACTTCTTTGGCCAGGCTACTTGAGTCTAAAATTCTTGGGGATCTCCCAGGGGAGCCACCTCCAGTTTCCATGCTGCCTGACTTTAGGGTGGGGGCAAGCACAAAGGCCTTGGTGAATTCCTGATCTTTGAAAGCAGACAGGAACGACATTGGGAGCCTCACTAGAAGTGGCATCGTGACTGTAACTAATTCGTAAGTCAGGAGGTTTTAGCCTCCCTTCCCACTAACCTGGATCTCTTCACGAGTGAGATGGGAAGTATTTAGGATACAATCAAGGGGGCGTTCCCAGGTCCCCTGGAAAGTTTGCAGGTGGAAGTAGTAGGCAATGCCATCCTTCATCAGATGCTGGACCCAGAAGAGCTTGTTTCCTATAAGAAAGTCATGGAAAAAGAGAGCAGAGATAGAGAGATTTGAAGAGATGGGGAGGTAGGATGGAAAAGAAGAATAAGAAGCAGGAATGGGAACAGAGGCAGGAGAAGGAATGATACCTGGTTGTTTCTTCCTTTCCATGGTATCCTGCAATAGCTTCTGGTAGTCACTGGCACATTCTGTGACCACCCCATAGAGGGCCACGGCTGGGTTACGTAATACCCGTTCTGTCTGGGCTGACTTCCCCTCCTTGATGGCTTGGTTGATGGCAGCCACTCCAAGGGCCACTAGGGTGGCAGGATAAGAGAGAGAAAAGTCAATTAGCTCCTGGGGAACTTCCACAAGGAGCATGCTCTTCTGGGCTATGGGAGAGGTGAAAGAGAAGAGATACAGTGGGATAGGGAAGAGGAGACAGTGAAATGGAAATGGGGAGGGTCTTGGGAAGGGATGCTATCAGTCTTGCATGGATCCCTGGAGGAAGACAATGTTGAATTCGATTAGGAAGGAGGGCAGAAATGGAAGTGGATAGATAAAGGAGAACTAGACATCTCAGGAAGAAACAATGACTACGCCATTTGATGGGGTTATAAGGTAGGGAATATGGGGCTGGTTTCCCTGAATGGAGTAGGGAATCCAAGTTGGAGAGCTGGCAGGAAACAAGGTAGAGGGGTCGTGTAGGGGAGAAGCCTCGATTCACTGAGATGCTCAGGATCTGCCTTCAAGGAGCTGAACAAATGGACAGATGGTGCTATGCGAAGGACAATGGATGTGAAGGACACACTCCAAGAGAAAACACGCATCGGTTTTGGCACTGGTTTTACCTAATACACTTTCATACAGTCTCTACTCCAGCCAAACTGGACTAATTCCTTGTCCCCCAAACAGGCCCTGTGTTCTCACTTCCTCAGACTTTAGCTCACAAACCCAAAACATTCTCCCTCCACCTTTTTGGCCGATCAATCAATAAACATTTATTAAACACCTATTATGTGCCAGGAGCTGTGCAAAGTACTGAATCCCCAATCTACCCTTTAAAAGCCCACTCAGACCCCACTTCTGTGATAAAGCCTTCACTTATGCCCCCCACTGTAACAACTTTCTGTTTCTACGGCTTCACACAGCTCTTCTAGACAGTTATGAGCTTTTGAGAGCAAGGACTGGGTTATGACTGGCCCCCATGCTTAACCCAGGAGTCTGAACACAGCAGATGCTCAATGAATATCTGCTGTCTGAATCCCCTCTCTCCTCTCCTCTCCTCTCCTCCCCATCTCACTCAGCTGAGAGAATGAACTCTGAAACACATTCTGGGGGCAGAGTCTCACCAGGACCTAACACAAAGGCAGAACGGGGGAAGAAAGGGTGGAGGGTTTTTTTCAGTCTGTTGCATGATTTCTTAAGTGCTCCTGGCACATGCCAATGTTGGGAGTGATGCACGAGAAGGAGGTCGGGGGAGGACAAGTGAGGCAGCACAGAGGGGTTGAGTACAAAAAAGATTCTCTCATCCCTTTGACCATCAAACAGCCTCTTCTATAGTTTAGCCAACAGGTCTTCTGCAATGTCAGTCTGCCTCTTCTCAGGAGGGATGGAATGGGATAGGAATGGGTATAATTCCTTTATCCTTCTTACTCTTCTGAGCTGCTTCTGTGCCCTGATTAGCTTTGGCCACTCCCTGGCGGATCTCCTCCAACCACAGCACAGCCCCAGGGTCCTTTGTTACCTAGAGTAGAGGTAGAGAAGAAGGAAGATTAGGGGCCAGCCTAGACTCCCAATTTTTCAAGAGTTTCCCCCACCCGTCCATGAGGTTAACTGGCCACTCTGACCTGAACTGGACCTTCTAACAGGTATCCCTACTCCTCTCATTTACCCGACCCACAGCCAGCAGAAGCAGTGTCCTCTTAAAAAGTCCAAGGATTTAACTAGAAATTCTCCAAAGAGGAAGCAGAAATTGTGACCGAATGCCAGAAAAAGCTAAAACCTCACACCTATCAAAATAGCAAAAATAAATAACAATGATAAAAGGCTTTGTTAGCTGGTGGTTTAAGGAGACAGGTGGCCTTGGGCATTGCTGATAATTATGCAAATGGAGTATGCTTTCTGGAGAGCAATCAGAAAGCCTATTAGTTCTGGAAGGTGTGCTGGGCTTAGAACTGGGACACTCGGGTCCAAATTCCAGAACTGCTACCTACTAAGTGATCTTGGGTCAGTCACTTAGACTCTGTTTTCCCAGCTGTAAGATGGGAACAATACTTGCACTTTCTACTTTCACAGATTATTATGAGGAAAACTAGAATCAAGCAATCCATCAACGGACAAGTACTTGCTGGGTGCTTAGGTGCTAGAGAATCAGAGACAGAAGTGAAACCGTCCCTGCCCTCAAGGAGCTTACACTCCATAGAGGAAGACAATAAGTACATATATAGGGATATAAAAAAAGCAGATACAAGATGATTAGGGAGGGGAGGAAGTTAGCAATTGAGGGGATCAGGAAAAGCCTCATGAATCTTACTAGAAGTTTTAAGAACTGGAAGTGAATAGGGGGTGCATTACAAAGGCACTGGGACAGGGAAACTGGCTGACGCGTACAAATCCCAGTAAGAAGGCTGACTTCATCATGAAGACAAGGCTGGAAAGGGAGTTTGAGGCCAGGTTTTGGCTTTGAGTACCAAAGAGAGGGGTTTATATTGATCCCAGAGGTCATAAGAAGTCATTGGACTTTATTGAAAAGGGTAATAATGTGACCAGACGTACACTTTAGGAAAATCACTTTGGCAGCTATGTGGAAGAAAAACCGGAGTGGGGATAGACCGGAGGCAGGGAGATCAAGAGGGAGGCTATTGCAATAGTCTAGGTGAGGGGATAAAGACCTTAATTTGACTGGTGATTGGGGAGGCAGGGGGAAGGGAATGCTCAATAAGAGATGTGAAGGTAGAAATGGAGACCTCAGCAACCTCTCTGGGATGAGGGAGCAGGCGAGGTCAAGGATGATCCAAATTGGGAATCTGGGAGATTGGAAGACGATGGTGGTGTCCTGAGCAGAAATTCTCAAAGTTCAAAAGAAGGGTGAATTGGGATAAAAGATAACGAAGTCTGTTCTAGACATGTCGAAAGGAAAGCAACAATACTTCCAAAGATTTATTATTTCATCAGAGTGGGTACTCTCTACACCAAAGATCAAGACCTTGTCCACACCTTACTAAATAACTTTAAGAATTGTTGCGGCCAAAATACAAAATCAAGCCTTGGTGATGATCCTTCTGGTAGTGAGAATAACAATTTAACTTTTTGCACGAAAGGAAGATGTGCTGCTGACCATCCCTTTTGACCTTGTAATTCCACTACTGGTATAATACTCTAATCCTTTAACAAAAATTTATTAATTAAACATCTTCTCTAGGCCAGGCACTGTGCTGAATGCTGGAGATACAAAGACAGAAATGAAATCATCCCTGTCTTCAAGGAGCTTACATTCTATCATGGGAGACAACAAGGGCACATCTAAACATGTGCAAAATAAATTAAAAAAACAACTTTATTGGGAATGGGTGGGAGGGGGGCACTAGCAGCTGGGCAGATAGGGAAAAGTCTCACTGGGGAAAGGGGGTCATGTCCAGATTTGTGAATTCATTAGGACAACAGGGCAGAAACCCCTTCAACTGATTCAGAACCTAATTAGTCTGTAATTCAGTCTCAAGGATTTTCCTGGGACATTGACAGGTTTCAGTGATTAGCTCAGGGTCATAAGACTAGTAGGCAGGGAGGTAACACAGTAGTTAGAGCACTGGATCTGAAGTCAGGAAGATCTGAGCTCAAATCCAGCTGTAGACTAGCTGTATGACACTGGGCAAGTGTCTCTGTCTGCCTCAGTTTCCTCAACTATAAAATGGGGATGATAATAATAGCACCTGCCTCCCAGGGATGTTACAAAGATCAAAAGAGAGAATATTTGTAAAGCACTATGCAAACCTTAAAGCACAATATATATACACTAACTCTTAATATTATTTTAAATTTTTTTTAATACCATGTGTCAGAGGTGAGTCTCAAACTGGATCTTAAAGACTTTCCAGATTGTTTCCACATTCTATCTACTATTTCAAGGTCTCCCCTCTATGAAGATTTTTATAGCTATGTTATTTGTAATGTGGGAAAAACTGGAAACTGAGTAAATACTCAACAGCTGGGGAATGACACTCAATAGAACATGTCACACAAGGAGAAGGAAAGATCAACATACCACCTATATCACAGCACTGCCTCTGGAGTCAGAGGAACTGGGTTCAAATATTGCTTCTGACACTATCTGTGTGACCTTGAGCAAGTCATTTAACTTCCTTAGGCCTCAGTTTCCTTGTCTGTAAAATGAGGGAATGGGACTAGATGTCCTCCGCAGTCTCTTCTAGGTCTAAATCTACAATCCTGTAATTTTTATAAATAAAATGTTTATTTTATAAAGTAAAACCTTTCTAGAACTAGGAATACATTTACTGATACTCAAACATATAATCAATAAGGATTGAAAGATGTTTTAAAGCAGGAATTCTTAAGCAGGGATCTGTGAACTTGGATGGGAAAAATATTACCTCTTTATTTTCACTAACTTCTAGTGATCATTTAGCATTTCCTTCAGTTATGAATTTAAAAAAACACCCCAACAAACCTTATTCTAAGAAGGGGTCCACAGGCTCTACCAGACTGCCAAAGGGGTCCATGAAACAAAAAAGGGTAACAACCCCTGTTTTAGAGTGAGCTATCAGGGCAGCTAGGTGGTACCATGGACAGAGCACCAGGCCCTGGAGTAGGAGGATCTGAGTTCAGATCCAATCTCAGACACATGATACTCATTAGCTGTGTGACCCTGGGCAAGTCACTTAACTGCCAAAAAAAAAAAAAAAAAGATAGAGTGAGTTATTGCGGTGGTAGAGGTCAAAACAAGTAGTAGACTAGCTTCAGAAGACCTGGATTCAAAATACTTACTGGCTATGTGACCTCAGGCAAATCACTTAATATTCCTCAGCCTCAGTTTCCTCAGCTGTAAAATGAAGATAATAGTACCACATACTTGCAGGACTGTGGTGAAGAAAGCTTTTTGTGCACCTTAAGCACTATATAAGTATGAGTTATCCTTACTTGAATGTTTAAAAAATTTCAAATTATAGTGGTTCAATACTCACCGGATTCTTTCTTTTTTTTTTTTTAAAGTAAAGTTCATAAGGAAAAAAGAAATTGAGTTCTTCAATATTTAAAAAAAAAATTCCCTCCCTGTTCAGGAAGCTATAATGGCTCTTTATCCTGTTGGATCAGGTCCTAACTCTTGAGTCTGGATTCAGGATTTCTACCCTGCATCACCTCCTCTGGGCCCCAACCACCCTGCCAGGAGAGAACACTCTGGAGTCTCTACTCCAGCCTGGCTCAGACTCTTCCCCTCATCTCGAAACCAGGGGTGGGGAGCCTGCAGCCTCAGGGCCACATGTGGTCCTCCAGCTCCTCAAGCTCAGCCCTTTGACTGAATCCAAACATTACAGAACAAATCCCTAAACAAAAGGCCGAACCCAAGGATCGAGAAGGCCACGTGGCAGGCTCCCCACCCCTGTAGTCTAAGCCATTTCCTCTGCCTGTCATGTTCTCTAACTCCCACCTTCTGTTTGTTCCTTCCCTACCCTGCTTTTTCTATTTCCTCTTCTTCTGGGAAGCCACTCCAGATTGCTTCCAATGGCTCTTCTCCTTCCTCTGGGATTACAGGACATAGAGACTTTAAGAGACTGTTAATTCCAAGCCTTTCATTTCCCAGATGAGAAAACAGATGGGAAGAAAGAAGATAAGTGACCTAGCTAAGGTCATATAGACAGGTAGCAAAGCCAGTGTCTGAACCCACGGCACCACGCTGCTTTCCTGTCTCTCCGTCTGTGTCCTTTGGGTACCTCTTTCTCCCTTTTTATCCTCCCAGTGCCTAGGATGGTCACAATGAGTGCTCAGTCCTTGTAGTAAACTAGATAATTTTTCCCCCTCTTTTTTTCTTTTCTTTTCTTTTTTTTTTTGCTAGGCAATGGGGTTAAGTGACTTGCCCAGGGTCACACAGCTAGTAAGTGTCAAGTGTCTGAGGCCACATTTGAACTCACATCCTCCTGACTCCCGGGTTGGTGCTCTATCCACTGCACCACCTAGCTGCCCCAATAATTCTTTTTTAAAAATATATATTTTATTTATTTCACTAAATATTTCCCAGTTACTTAAAAAAAATTTTCAACATTTTATAAATTTTTTTGAGTTCCAAATTCTCTCTCTTCCTCCTGGTCCTCCCCTCTCCTTGAGAAGGCAGGCAATTTGTTATCAATTATACATGTGAAGTCATGCAAAACTTATTTCCATACCAGCTATGTTGCAAAAGAAAACACAAACAAAAAAATAAAGTTTTTTTAAAAGTATGCTTCAACTCTGAGGTACCACATCACACCTATCAGATTGGCAAACATGACAAAACAGGAAAATTATAAATATTGGAGATGTGGGAAAATTGGAACACTAATGCATTGTTGGTGGAGTTGTGAACCAATCCAATCATTCTGGAGAGCAATTTGGAACTATCCCCAAAGGGCTATAAAACTGTGTATACCTGTTGACCTAGCAATACCACTTCTAGGTCTGTATCCCAAAAAGATCACAAAAACGGGAAAAGGACCCACATGTATAAAAATATTTATAGCAGCTCTTTTTGTGGTGAAAAAGAATTGGGAATTGAGGGGATGCTCATCAATTGGTGAATACCTGAACAAGCTGTGGTATGTGAATGTAATGGAATACTATCGTTCCATAAGAAATGATGAGCAGGTGGATTTCAGAAAAACCTGGAAAGACTTGCATGAACTGATGCTGAGTGAAGCAAGCAGAACCAGGAGAACACTGTATACAGTAACAGCAACAACTGACTTTGATAGACTTAGCTCTTCTCAGCAATGCAAGGATCTAAGACAACTCCAAAAGACTCATGATGGAAAATGCTATCCATATACAGAGAAAGCACTGATGGAGTCTGAATGCAGATTGAAGCATACTATTTTCTCTCTCTTTCTTTTTTTCCTTTCTCATGATTTTTTCCTTTTGTTCTGATTCTGCTTTCACAATATGACTAATGTGGAAATAGGTTTAAATGATCATACATGTATAGCCTATATCAGATTGCATGCCATCTTGGGGAGGGGAGAGAATTTAGAACTCAAAATCTTATAAAAGTGAATGTTGAAAACTAAAAATAAATAAATTTTAAAAATTATTTTGTTACTTTGAAAAGAGTGGAAATTCATTTTCCATTTTAAAAAGCCATACTAGCCTTAAGAACTCAAAAAATTAAGTATTTGTGTTACTATTAAATTCTGACTTTATCAAGACTTAAGAAAATAAGTCCTACTAAGAAAAATACTTTCAAGATGATCTGGTCACACCATTGCAGAATTATGTTATGCTGTGTTTTGTTTTTTAATAAAAACTTATTTTGCAAACAAGGGGGAAAAAAAGTATGCTTCAATCTGCATTCAGAATTCATCAGTTCTCTCTGTGGAGGTGGAGAGCATTTTTCATCACGTGACCTAGATAATTCTCAAGCCTACCTGGGCCTTCTTTCTCTTGGCGGAGGTCAGGATATGGTGGTATAGGGGGCCAACAGGGAGAGTGACATTATCCAGGCCGGCGGAGGGCAACAGTAGGGCAGTCAAGGTCTTCTCTGGTTTTCTCTGATCCAGGGCTTCATTGATGAGACTGACTGCGAGGATCTCTGATGGAACAGCAAGAGTCTACTAAGGAAGGGGAGCCCAAAGCTGCACTCTGGGGCTAGAATGCATAGCAAAAAAAAGCAGTTGCAGAGACCCAGTACTGGAAGGGTGTGAGTCTGACCCCCAACACAATCCATCCCTTCCAAGGCCCAACTCACGCTCTGTCTCCTCCTGGACCTGACCATTGACTTGGCTCACAGTGGCCTGCAAGTCATTCCAGCTCAGGAAGGCCCCGGCCCCATTCCGTTCCTGCCACAGCCTTCCCAGGGCATCAAAATAACTGGGGATTAAGGAAAGACAAGGTAAGTTGAGAGGTATGGGATCTCACAGTAGGAGTCAGGAGAGATGGAGGATTTTACCTCTCAAAGAGAAAGTAAGGCTCAAAGGAAGAGACTGAGAATAGTAATAGCTTAAATTTTATCTAAGTGCTTTAAAGGTTACAAAGTGATATCTCTACAACAACCCTATGAGGTAGAGAGTGCAAGTATTGGTATCCTCATTTTGCAGATGAGGGGATAGTCTCAGAGGCAAAAAGATTTCATAGGCTCTGAATCTCAGAGCCAGGACTTGAATCCAAGATCCAGTCATCTTTCCACTATCCACCCACCATCATTCCACTGTCCACCCACCATCTTTCCACTATTCATTCACCATCTCTCCACCAGCCCCACAGTCAGAGGGACAATCAGATTACACCTCCTTCTCTTTTCCACATGTCCAGGACCATCTCTGCTTGAGGGGAAGCAGGTAGTGACTCCATGCTGAAATAGAGATGTCTAGACTCCAAACCTAATGAAGAAGCTCTTTCCAAAATCACAGACTTGCTCCCAGGACATGGACTACTTCAGAACCTTGTTTTCTTGGTGCCAAGGACCTGAAAACTTGCCAAAGTCCACAAGGGACATAATTTTAAGTACTTTCCTCCCCTTTCCATACTCTGACAGTCCAGCCAGACTGGCTCCCTTAATGTTCCTCACAAAGGAGGCTCTCATTTCCTATCTCGATGCCTTTGCACACTTTATATCCCACGCCTCCTCACCTCAGTCTCTGGTGTCCTTCAAAACTCACTTTCTATAGGAAGTCTTTCCTAATGCCCCCCGCTATTAGTAACCCCCCCCCCCCAAAGAATTTTGCATTGATTATGCATAGATTCATATATGCATATGCTGTGTCTCCCTCTCCACCTTCCCCTCAAATTCACTGTAAGCTCCTTGAGGGCAGGAACTCTTTCTTTTAGCCTTTTTATTCCCAGCACTTAGCACACTGCTTGGCACCTACTAGGCATTTAATAAATGTTTACTGATTGAAGGATCATCTGTAAAATGAGTCTAATAATATTTGTACTATTCATCTTGTTGCTCAGTTGTTTCAGCTGTGTCCAGCTTGATTCTTTGTGACCCCATTTGGAGTTTTCTTGGCAGAGATATTGGAGTGCTTTGCCATTTCCTTCTCCAGCTCATTTTACGGGTGAGGAACTGAGACAAAAAGAGTTAAGTGACTTGCCCAGGGTCACACAGCTAGTAACTGAGGCCAGATTTGAACTCAGGAAGATGAGTTTTCCTGACTTTAGGCCCAGCACTCTATCCACTGTATCACCTAACTGCCCTCTACTCACCTACTGGGCATTTAATAAATGCTTTTTTTTTTTTTTAAGGCAATTGGAGTTAAGTGACTTGCCCAGGGTCACACAGCTAGTAAGGGTCAAGTGTTTGGTCTGAGACTGGATTTGAACTCAGGTCCTCCTGACTTCAGGGCCAGTGCTCTATTCACTGCACCACCTAGCTGCCCCTAATAAATGCTTATTGATTGATAGATCATCTGCAAAATGGGTCTAATAATATTTGCACCATCTATCCCACAAAGCTATGAGGAAAGCACTTTGTAACCCTTAAAAGTACCATGAAAATCAGTTGTTTTCATTTCAGTTTCCTGTTTCTCTCACGTCCCTGAGGTTTTAAAGGTCCTGTGCCTTGCCTTGCTTACCGCTGGGCATTCTCTCCATCCACTTCAGCCAGGCCCAAAGCTGGGCTGACCAGACTGTTCCAGAAGCCCCCAGCATCCCCTGCCTCCAGGCACCGATTAATCAGGGCAACAGCAGAGAGCATCTCCAAAGCCACAAAGAGTTCCTCCTGAGCAAGTTCCTAGGAGAGAAGCATGGAAGTCCTCTTGACAAATCTGGAGCCTTTAGGGTGCACCCCCCCACCCCCCTGCCAAACTGACTGGAGTCAGAAAGACCTGAGTTCAAATCCTACTTCAGGATTACTACCTGTGTGACCCTAGGTAAATCACTTAACTACTTTCAGACTCAGTTTCCTCATCTGTAAAATGAGGATAATAAAAGCAAAATAATAAAATCTCCCAGGATTCTTGTGAGGGTCAAATGAGATAACATATATAAAATGCTTTGCAAACCTTAAAGTGGTGTATATATAAGTGACAGTTATTATTACTATACTATCTCATATCTCACTAGCCTACATCCCCATTGCAAATATATAATGCACACTGGGTCTTTCTTCCTAGGAGGATGTGTCTCCCATCCTGGCCCAACCTGCTCTTAGTCTCCCCCAACCTTTCAGCCTTCCATTAGAATCCTCTGGATTAAATGCCCTATCCACTGGACTCCCTGAATCCTAGCCTTCCGCCAATCAAACCCTTCCCCACCCTGCCATCCTTTAAGAAGGCTTCTGAGGCTTATCCACCTCTGCCCAAGTCCACTCCCCTCCAGGCTTTTCCACCCCCCACCACAGGTATCTAGATCGCCAGGCCCCCTGGATCTTCTGCTCTTGTTCCTGTGTCTGTGCTCTGGAGGTGTAGAATTTCCCCAAAGGGCTAGGGATATCCCTTTTCTTCCCCTCAGATCCCTCCTCATGGCCTAAGGCAGGGTCCTGGTGTTAGATTAGGGGTTAAAGATCAGCAAGATTTCTGTACTAGTAATGGGCAGAGGACCAGGGGAATGGAGAGAGTACCCTGTGACCCCTTCTTGTGACTTACCCCTTCCTGCTGCTGCTGAATCAAACTTAGTTCCTGCTGGTACATGGATTCAGCAAAGGGGTACACCTCAGGCAGCTGGGCTTCAGGGCACATAAGCTCCCTCACCGTGTCTGCTGCCAGCCCTCTCCGGATGGCTCTATTGATCCGTCCAACAGCCTGAAGCACTGGTAGGGGTAGAGAAAAGTTGATTCAGCTGGCCACTTAAGCAAAGTTATCTGCCCCCAATCCAGCCCTACCCCCCAATGTGGCAGTATCAAGCAGTTTAAAAAAACCACTCCTCATACCAAATGACCCAACAATGCCATTTCTGGACCACGCCCTGAGGATGCTGTTAAATAGGGAAAGAGAACAAACCTAGCTGCTTTATTTGCAATGGTGGGAAGCTGGAAACAACTTTTATGTCTTCCTACTGTGGAATGGATGAATAATTATGATATATCATTGCAATGGTGTATGATTATGTTTAAAAAATGACAGATTTGATGACTACAAAGAAATAAGGAATGGATTATATGAAGCAACACAAGCAGAAGACAGTAGAATTAAAAAAAAACAAAACACCAAAGGTACTAACTGTGGCTTATTTTAAAACACCACCACCACTATCACAGCAACATCGTGGCTGAATACAAAGAGCATTAGAGCTAGACTTGAAATCCAAACACTTACATTCAAATTCCAGTTCCAGCACTTGCTTGCTATGTGACTTATATGAACAAGCCACGTTAGCCTCCTAAACAGATTCTTCATCTGTCAAACGGGCACAACGCACACTATCTACCTCACGGGAGTGTTACGTTGACAATGCTTTCTGAACCTTAAAATGCTGTAGAAATGTAGGTTGTAATTGTTTATAAAAAAAAACAAAAACAAACCCACAGCAGAACCTTATTTTAAGCACAGAGACAGAAAAGAGAGCAGAAGAGGATAGGCTGTAAATAAACTGCTAGGCTCCGCACTGCAGACGAATTTTTAGAACAAACTTGGATGGTGTGTTGGCAGAAGAGGGAGAAGGGAAGGAGGGTGCCCTAGGGTGGCCAGCTACCATAGCAGTGGGGGAGGGTGTGGTGTGTGCATGGGGGTGTAAGATAATTGGGAATTGAGTATGGCAGGTCTCTGAACTCAGAAAGCCTTGATGCTCATCGACAAAAGGTGTTCTTAGCATCATAAATTGACTTCCACACCACCACAAGGGCCAAGCTGAAACCCAAGAGGAGTAAGATGAAGTAGGGCCAAGCAACCTGGCTGTGCTGGCCCCAGAGGCCTCAGGAGCAGAGATGGGCCCCTGGCAGCAGCCTTCACCCTGAGAAGGACTCTATCAGTTCTGAGGCAGGACTCTTAGTTCAGTCATGTGATAAAGGACTTTCGTCACCATCTGACTCCTCTCTGACAAGGAACATTTCATCTTTTAATGCAAGGTCTACCTGGCCTGAAATCAATTTGCCTGATTGTGTGTCATGGATTCCTTGTCGCACTGGGCTGATTTTATCTTCTTGGTGGCTAAATATAAAATTGTATAAAAAATCCTCTCTACCTTTTTTGGGCTGAGAGGGAAAAAAAAAGAAAAAGGTCTAGACTTGCTACCTTAGGCCAGAGGTAAATTATCGGCAAGGTCGATATTATAAGAGGGATTGCTAGGCCAAAGGCTCAAGATTTCCCTGGGTGAATTCCATGAAGAATCTGATTCCACAGGAAGTCCTCAGCAAGGACCCCCCAGGTTAGGGCAATGCTAGAACAAACTATCAGGCAAAAAAGTGTTGCCCTGTCAAGAGAAGCAATCAAACAATCAACAAGCATTTATTAAGCACCTACTACATGCCAGGTACTATGCTTGGCATTGGAGATACAAAGGTAAAAACAAAATTATCCCTTGAGACAACATGTATAATAGAACATAAACAAAATAAATTTAAGGTAATTTGGAGAGGGGAGAGCTGGGGGCAGTGGAAGTCTTGAAGCAATAAAGGAGTCTCAAAAGTGGAGATGGGGAAGGAACACATTTCAGGCAGAGACGAAGGGTTCTGTGTGTGTGTGTGTCTGGAACAGCAAGAAAGCCAATGTAGTTGGACCAGATAGAGTGTGGGGAAGGGAACAATGTCCAATGAGGCCAGAAAAGGAGGCAGGGGCCAAGGGGGGAGGGCTTTAAAAACCAATCAAAGGGGTTTATAACTGATCCTACAAGTAGTCAGGAACCACTGGAGTTAACTGAATAGGGGAATAACAGGGTCAGGCCTACGATTTGAGAAAATCACTCCAGCAGCTGGGTAAAGTATGGTTTAGAGAGAGAGAGAATATTGGGCTGAAAAACCAGTTAAGAGGCTATTGTAACAATCTAGGTGAGAGGTGATGAGGAGGGGCCTGAACTCGGGTGGTGGTTGTATGAGTAGAGAGAAGGGGATGGATTTGAGATGTGGAGACTGAAACAAGATTTGACAGCTGAACGGATGTGTGGGACTGATGGAGAGTTATGAGTCAAGTGTAACAAGGAGGTTGCAGAATGTGGGAAAATGGAAGCATGGTGATGCCCTTAACAAAAATATGGAAGTCTGGAAGGGGGGAGGGATTAGAGAAAAGATAATGAGGTGTTTTCTTATTTTTCTTTTTAGATATGTTGATTTTGAGATGACTATGGGACATCCAGTTTGAAATGTCCAATAAGCAAAAGTGATCTGGGTGCTCTTAATAGTCAGTGTCTGAAAACTGTGGAAGTGAGACAAAGTAAAAGATTCTTAAGAGAATAATTACCACAAGATTAAGTTAAGCAGAAATTATTAACCAGTAAAATTTAAAACAGCATTTCTTATCTCCTGTTTATAGCAAATTTTTACTAGTGCACAAAATTTTTTACCACCAAACATTCTTAGTTCTCAAACTCTATAAACTTTAAAAACTGGCTTCTTCCTCCTTCCTACCCTTGCTCCCAGATCTTATGTCCTTGACCACTGAAAGCCACTGAGCTAAGGCTTTGGAAGGAAGAATGATCCAAGAAAAGAATGTAGAGATTTTACTGGTCCAGAGTATAGTATGAGTTAGGAAAAACTGCTTTACAATCAGAAAGATATCATAATGTTTCTAGGCATTCTATTTCTTTTAAATCTTGCTACAGATTACATCTCTATGTTTATTCATTTCCTATAAAAAAGGTATATTCTTATTCAACTTCTTATAAAGAGGTTAAAAGGTATATTAATAAATATATATTATATAAATACCCATAATAAATTATATGTTATAATATTACATATAATTATAACATTATAGATATTTATATTATAGCCAAAGCAATAAGAAAAGTCTATCTTACTAAGCAGTGGGAAATTGTTTTAAGCAAAGAGTACTGAAAGGTGAAAGGAGCCCCCACAGATAAGCAATCAAAATATCCCTTCTCCTAGGCATGTTAGTAATTTCTTGGAAGGCAAATAACCTTTGAAATTTGGACTGGACATTGTCCTTTATCTCACTGCTCATTTTAGTTGCAGAGACTGAGACAGATAGCAGCTATTGGGAAACAGAACAATAATGCCCAGGAGAAAATAACCCACCACTTAGGGGCATGCATGCTTTACAAATTCAATCCTGTTATAGTAATAAGCAAATAGCACAATCCCAAATTCTTAAACATACTTTCTGAAATTATCTTCTAAGCATTATCAAGTGGTGCAGGAATGAGGTACATTCTATGTAGGTGAGAGCTGCCATGCCTTTGAGAGGGTTGACAACCAGTCTAGGTCAATCCTCCATCACAGGGCGGTGACTTACTAGCAAGTTCTTGATCGCCTTTAGCATTGGCTGCAGCCACACCAGCCTGGACCTCCTCCTTCTCCAGAAGCTCTACCAAGCCCAGCTCCTTTAAGAGGCAAAAGATTACCCTGAGAATTATGATAGTTATTTGTGTACATGTGATACCCATCCCCATTAAACTGTAAACTACTCTCAGTGACTGTCAATTTTTACCTGTGCATCCTCAGAATCTAGCATATTGTTTTGTATACAGTAGGTGTTAATAAATGTTTGTTGAATGGAACAGGGGTGGTCTATCCTAGCTTTAAGGGTGGGAGAGTCAGGGAGCAGAAGGATTTCCTCCCCTCACTCTCCCTCCTCAGACTTACCAGCGCTTTCTGTTCTCTGTCTAAACTCAGTTGCTCCAGGTACCAGTCACCAAAACCCCTCCTCACTCCTCGAAGGGCCAAAGCTGAGTCGCAGAGAGCTTCAAGCAAGGCCCCAGAGTTCTGTCTTTCCAGAGATTCGTCAACAGCCTCCAGAGCTCCATGAACTAAGAAGAAACCCAAACTTAGATCTGGGCAATTTGGGAGGGACCAGGGGCCTTAGAATGCTCTCAGTCTGCCCCTACCTCCCATCATCAATAACCAGAACCATCTGAAGCCAGTAGCATTCTGACTACTCTTTCCTGCTCCCAAACCTACAAAGATTTCTTTTGGTTTTGTCCATCCCAAACTTTGGGGACCTTCTTTCCATCAGCCTCCCTGTCTCAATGATTGTATCTCAATACCCTCTCAGCTCAGGCTCCTCTCCATGCAGGCAAACCCATGCCTCTTCCCCACCCTGAGCCTTTGAATGAGCTGTTTGCCCCCAAACGCTTCTCTTTCTCAGCCTCATCTCTTCCCCAACTCTTCCTTCCCAACTTTTTCATGTTTCTCCTCTTTCAGAAAGCCATGCATCCTTTTATTTTGGTCTTCAGTATTTGTCTCTCAAATGGCAACTCATTAAGGACGGATATCAGTCTTTTTATAGGCGTACAGTTGGCATCTGCCACTGGAAGGAAAAAGAATATGAAAGCTTCATTCTGATCTGGTCTAGATTAGGGAGGTGAGGGGTAGGGGGAAAGGGAAAGAATGGGTCTTGAATCATTTCACTTCTCAGGGGCCCCAGTTAGCTGTCTATACGACTGGGGCTGAGCACTGAGGTGCTTGACCAGATGAGGTCTAAATGTTCCTTCAGTTCTAAATCCTTTGATCCCAAGATTTCAAGCAGGGGTCAAAATTTTCAAACTTTGACTAGGATGGGCAAATGCTTTGTCCAGGCTCTGGCTATACATCCTGCACTGGGTATATATTTGAATTCTTTTGTCCTCTCTTACCATTGACTTGGTTGATATTGCCCTGTATCTCTGCCTGAGTCAGGTATCGGTCATAGATGTCATGGCTCTCTCCGCCATCCTGGACATACTAAGAAGAGGGTGAATATGCTATCAGGAGGAGGTCAGCTTGAAATAAGCCTTCTTGTTACTTTTTTCCCTCCCGCATTCCACCAGATTTCAGTCAACTCTTCTGAGTTCCTCCACTCCCACTGCTTCTAGAGGTCTAACCTAGTCCAGAAGCAAACCAAAATTTCCACCCTCCTGCTACCAGCACATTTAAGCTAACCTTAAGAATCTCTAGGGACAGAGTCCAGTCTCATCCAGTAACATCCCAGGGTCTCTGCTCTTCAGAGAGGTTGAACCCAGGAATCCTCCTCCATATATCCTTTGCCTTTAAGAACACAAAACACTAATCCCTCACCCTCCTCTTAGATCCCTACCTCTGAGGCAATGAGGTAATACAGCAGGCCTGGAATCAGGAAGACCCAAGTTCAAATCCAGCCTCAGACACTTAGTAGCTGTATGACTTTGAGCAAGTCACTTAACTTCTATCTCCCTCAGTTTCCTCAACTGTAACACGGGGATAATAACAGCATCCACCTCCCAAGGGTTGTTTTGAAGATTAAATGAGATATTTGTAAAGTTCTTGGCAAACAGTAGGCACTATATAAATAACAGTAGGCACTCATTCCCTTCCTTCCCTTTTAGTTTAATACAATTAAACAATTTTTCATTGCCTACTGTGAGCTGACTGCTATGCTAGGCTATGACAAATTTTTATTATTTCAATAACTGACATACTTTAAAGCCTTCATTTGAGTCTCACAACAATCCTGGGAAGGGGGTACTAGTAGTGGTATTATCCTAATTTTAGAGAGAGGGAAACTGAGGCTCACAAAGGTTAAGTATATTGCCTACGGTCACATGGCTAGCATCAGAGGTAGGATTAGAACACAGATCTTCCTGACTCTAAATCCTGCAATCAATCCACTATGCCACAGTACTCTCTTCTAGCCCTTCTCACTGTTCTGCCCTGGCCCCTTTCCCTGAACCACCCAGATAACTGCATTATTTCTTGAACTCTTCCGGCACAGGATCTGAGAGTACTCTCTCTTTCTCATAAAGCAGGGAAGATTCCCCACTTCAGTTTCAGAGTGTGAAATTAAGACCCTGAGATGGAATTAAGTGGTTTTTCCCTAGGTCAGGGAGCCCAGCATATGGGAACCTGAGCCCCAGGACTTCTCCTTACACAGTTCCTGGAGTTGGCGACTTTTTCCATCTTCACTTGGGCTAGCAGCTCCTGGTAAACAGCAGCCAAGGGCTCCCGGAGGTTCCCCAACATGGCGTTCGGGTTCTTCAGCGCAGCAAGAGTGTCTTCTACCACCCCCCTCTCCACCGCTTCATTGATGGCAAGGACGGCGGCATGGACTAGAAGTAGGGGAGTAAGGGTGTTGGGATGGGAAGCGGGGTGAGACATGAAAACAAGATCAAGGGACGAGAAGCAAACAGCAGGTTGAGGTCAACCTTGGTTACTTTAATTCTAATTCCATGTTGCCATCATAACTTCCTCAAACCCTCACAGGTTAGCTCAGTTGGAAGGCCCACGTGTAGGTAGGCGACGAGGAGAACCTCCTTTTCGGGATGTGCTCTCTACCCTTGAACCTGGAGTTTCCCACCCATCCAAAGCACCGCTCCTGGCATTTGTTGTGCAGATCAGCTGCTACCTACCAGAAGCCTCATCCACAGAGAGCTCACTTGCCAGGATGCCCCCAATCTTGCTGAACGCTGGCAGCTGCAGCCCATACTTAGCCAGCTCTGCAGTCATGTTGTTGAGTTCCTCCTCTGCAAAGACATCACAGGTAAACTGATGTCACTGAAATCTCAAAAGTACCAGCCTCTCCAGCCACAATACCCTGTCTTTTCTTTCCTTCACAACCAAATTCTTGTAAAGACATGTCCCCACTCTTTGCTTCTGTTTTTTTCACCTCCTCACTTCTCAATCCCTTGTAATCTGGCTTCCAAAGCTACCCTGCAATTGAGACTGCCCTCCCAAAGTTAACTGCTGAACAGGATGGCTTTTTCCCATCCTCCCCCTTCTTGACGTCTTTGTAGTTCTTGACATCATCGGGTATGCTTTCCTCCTAGATACTCTTGGCTTCTGTGCCAATATTCTCTTCTGGTTCTCCTCCTGACTGTCTAATCACTTTTTCACAATCGCCTTTGCTGGATTATCACCCACCCCACATCCCTTAAGCACAGGCCTTTCCCAGGGCTCAGTCCTGGGCCCCCTTTTCTTCTTTGTATGTTCTCTATATGTCATCTCATCAAGTCCCATGGGTTGAACTATCTCATCAGAGGTGATTCCCAAATCTATGTATCTAGCCCTACCTCTCTTCTGAACTCCAGTCCCCAGTTCCACAAAACCAACCACCTGCCTGCTGGACATCTCCACCTCAAACTCAACAAGTCTAAAGTGGCGCTCAGACTCTCCTCTTTCCCTCCCCTTCTAAAACTCCCCTATCTCCATTAAGCACATCACCTCCTCAGTCATCCAGATTCACAAACTCAGTTACCCATATTGTTCCTTCTCCCTTGTCCCCTGTATCTAATCAGTTGCCAAGCTTTGCTTCTAACTCCATAACTTCTCTCTGATTTATCCTCCTCCTCCTCTCCACTCACATGACCACTACCCTAGCTCAGGCCCTCCTCGCCTCTCACTTGGACAACTGTTGTTGTTGTTTAATCACTTCAGTTGTGTCCTACTCTCCGTGACCTCATTTGGGGTTTTCTTGGCAAAGATACTGAATAGTTTATTATTTCCTTCTCCAGCTCATTTTACAGAAGAGGAAACTCAGGCAAACAGGGTTAAGTGACTTGCCCAGGGTCACACAGCTACTAAGTGTCTAAGGCCAGATTTGAACTCACGAAGACAAGCCTTCCTGATTCCAAGCCCAGTGCTCTATCCATTGGACCACCTAGCTGCCCCCTGGACTACTGTAATAGCCTCCTAACTGATTTCCCTGCTTCCCCATTTCTCTTCCCTCCAATCATCTTCCATATACCTTCCAAATTAAGATTCCTAAAATACAGTTATGACCCCATAGCTCCTCTGCTCAAAAACTATCCATAACTCCCTCTTGCATCTATGATAAAATCCAAATTCTTCAGCCTGCCATCTAAAGCCTCATGACATTGTGCTCCTCTTAATTTTCTAGACTTACTTCATAATGCTTCCCTTCCCGTACTCTCCTCTCCAGCCCAAGTGGCCTGCTAGCTTTCCCTCAAACTTGACATTCACCAGTTCCCAGCCCTGAAATGTATTGCTACCCTCATATTTGCCTCCTAAAAATCTCTAACTTTTCTCAAGGCTTAGGTCAGGTGTCTAAGTAAAATCTTTCTTGATACTGCCTGGTATTATTCTTTCTCCTGCATCAAATTATCTTATATTCGCTGATTGGTATAGATACTATAATCCAGTACCCCCAGTCTTCCCAGTCCCCCTAATGTCATCAAAGGCAGGGATTGTTTAGTTGTTATCTTTGCATTGCCAGTGCCCCATAGATGGGAAAACTTTAAAAATGTTAGCTGAAAGGAATGGAATTGAATTGCTGGGTAGAGAAGGAAGTGAACCCACCTGTAAATTTTACTTTACCGTACAGGTCATGGATCTGAGGTGCCAATCCCAATCGGAAGAGGAAGAGACTGGGAAAAAAACAGAAGGCAAAACTGTGCAGGAAACATCTTCCTTACATCATTTTAAGGAACTCAGTGACCTCAGGCTCCCATCACTTTCTTTATCCGACCAAGACCAAGGTTTTTTGAAAGAGGGCTACAGAGAAAGCCTGGGATGTTTTCCAAGAAATGAGATAAAGAAATTCAAGGAATCTCTCTCTTTGTAAAAGGTGATTCATATCCATTTGGAATGAGGGGTATTAAAAATTTATCCACCATTCATCCAAGGCTGACCTTACCTGAAGGTCCTGGCTCGGGTCCCACTCCTGTGGGAGCTTCACTCTCTAATTACAAACCAGGAACATCTCCATCTCAGCCTCTACCCGCAGTTATATTCACAGAAGGAGAAGATCTCCACATCTATCCACTCCCACGGCATTGCAGACATACACAGCTATACAGATCTAGGCTCTCACATCTCTGGTAGTTTTCCTTCGGGTCCCTTCTCCATCCCCCCTAGTATAATGCCAGCTGCAGAGGATATTCTACTGTACCTAGAAACCTAGGTGATAGGAAGTTTGCTCACCTCAGCGCATGGATACAGTAGACCACCCGTGGCATGTTCTTCTTGTCATAGATGTCTGTAGTCTCAGGAAGAAAAGTCTGGAGGAGAAGCCAACCTATTAGTGCATGTAGTAGCCTAGTAGATGTACCCAGTTTAAGGAGGGAAGAAACTCCAGGCACCAATTTTTAACCTTCCTAAATGGGAGTGGCATTTAAAGAGGCAGTATAGCATTGTAGATAGAGAGCTGGCTTTAGAGTCAAGACCTAGGTTCAAGTCCTGCCTGACACATCCTGGCCACATGACCCTAGGTAAATCACTTAACCTCTCAGTGCTTTAGGGAACCTTCAAGTCTATAGGTTGCAGGGGCAGCTAGGTGGCACAGTGGATAGAGCACGGGCCCTGGAGTCAGGAGGACCTGAGTTCAAATTTGGCATCAGACATTTACTAGCTGTGTGACCGCATGCAAGTCACTTAATCCCTATTGCCTCAAAATAAAAAAAAAAACAAAAAACTATAGGCTACAGAGAAAGTAGACAATCTGAGTTAGTAAAGGGCGTTTTCTCCTTTGTGAGGCCTTTACAGGAATGAAATCACAGCAGGCACAGCTGACCTTAATGACCCAGGTTTATCTATGGCCCAACTGCCTCTACTCCTACTTCCTACTAGGTGGGGAGAAGAGTGAAAAGTCAACATTGATATAAATTCATGCCACATTAAGGGGCAGACGTATGAAACAATGGCAGATTTACACAATAAGCTTTTATGCTCTAATTTCTTAGTTCTCACGTACTCCCAAAGCAGGAGAAAAATAAAGGGCAGTGTACATTATTTTGGCAGCTAATAGTCTGATATTTTACTACTGCTTCTGCCAGTTTTTGAAAGGAGTTCCACTATATATTATCAGTGACAGAATCTGTACTTCTGTACTGTCTTTTTTCTGAAAATATACATGTCATATTTAGATAGATAATGCACTTATTGAGTGTTTACTACGTGCCAGGCACTGTGCCATATTTGTATAAGGCTTGAAAGTTTGCAAAGTGTTTTACATACTATATATACAGAAAAGTGTTTTAATATACATTGTATACACAGAGAATCTCTCTTACTGCACATATCCTTACAACTCCCAGGGACTCAGAAGGGAAGCATAGAGGGGAATTCTTTTCCTTGTACAGTTACAGAAAGGGGGTGTGGCTTGTATGAAATCTTATGGATCCCAAGGCTGTTTTTATCAGCTTTAACCAGTCAGTAAGGAATGTGGAAGTCATGGGGCAAAGGTGCTGATGGAGACAAAGGTGTGGCGCAGAGGAACAGGAGGGAGAGAGTGACAAGTCCCAATTCTAATGTCCAATATAGACAGGTCCAAGGTTACCTTAGGTAGGCCAATGTGAGACGCTGCAGCCAGCCAGAAGTTGATGTTATCAGTGTGACGGAAATGTAGGCCAGTTGCCTAAAGAGGAAGAAAAGAAAGTCAGTTCCTGTATAGTTCTGAGAGTCCCTTGTGGACAGAACCTGTGCTGGGCACTGGAGGGGAGATCCAGGAGGACGCTCTCTGCTGGGGAGACAGAGCACTGCCCCAGGCCACAGACTGACCCTGAGCCTGACAAGGGAAGATGATATGGGCTGGATAAAGATCTAGACACCAGTGCTGCGGGGGAAATTGAAAAAGGGAGGGTCTGGTCCAGAAGTTTCCAAAAGGAAGGGATGTCTATAAGATGGGAAAGAAGGGAGACACGGGGGCAGGTAGAGAGTAGCACCAGGGTATCTTCGACAAGGATAACTGTTCATGCAATGATTTAGGGGTCAAGGACCACTTAATTTCTTAAAGCCTACTGTGTAAGTGTCCCTTACACCTGAAAGAGGCACACTTTACTCTTTAGGTAGTCCACCAACGGTCAGAGGGGGAAGACGTCCCCATAATGAGCCCCTTTCACAGGTGAAAAGGAGGGAACAAAGAAAGAAAGCTGGGCCTTCAGGTGCCCTCTCACCTTATACCGCATTTGCTCTAAGTCATAGATCTTTTTGAAGGGAACCACATCAGGGGCAAAATAGTGTCCTAATTTGGCCAAAATAACCCCATTTCGAAGGCTCTCCTCCAGCTCCACCGGAGAAGGCAGCTCTTCCTTCAGGCAGGCCTCCATCCAACTATGGGCAAAGTCAAAGGAGAAGGTAGGTTGCAGCCCCTTTGGCTGGGCTCCCAGGAGCACAGGCAGGCTGCAGTCACACTGAATTCATGAATCTTGCTCGCTGAACCCTGGGTCCTCTGGTCTCTAGATCAGAACTGAACACTTCCTCCCCTGGTTTAGCAGTTTCTCCTTCCTACTCTCTCTGCCCCGTGTCTGCTCTCAGCTACTTTCTCTCAAATTGCCCACACATACCTGGAACTGTGGAATTATAGACTCAGAGCTGGGAGAAACCATCTAGTAGAGTGAAATATCCTGGACACCATGGTGGAAGCTTGGCTAGTGCATGCACTGCAGCCAACAGTGGTGGCCCTTGGAGGCAACCACAGTTTTGGGAGCTCTCAGCACAGAGACTACTTGTCAGAAAAATTACACGGGACCCGTTGTGGGCCTTGGGTGCAGGATTTAGTGCTATTTGGCAACTCTATTGCCCATACACAGCTCTGGGTCGCAGTTCCAGAGCAGAAAGGAATGCTTCTGGTTGGGTTGCCAGGGAGCAGGGGCCCTGGTCACAGTGGGACCAGGAGGAATACTAGTGCTTGTGGCTGCAGGAAAGCAGGGAACCTAGTCACACTTGGGCCAAGCGGAGCAGGGGCCCTTCCTGGATAAAGACCAGAACGTAGACCAAAGAGCAGTGACCACATCTCTTCCTGGATCACACCACATTGGAAGCAATGAAAATTTGTACTCTTTAGAACTAGCTCTGAAAACAGCAGCATGAAAAAGCCTGAAGCTTGACACAGTGCCTCCCTACCATGAGGTGAGCAGAGCTCAACTTTAATATAAAGTTCAAAGTGAAGAAATAGGCTGGGAAAATGAGACAACAACCAAAAAAAGAATTTGACCATAAAAAGCTACTATGATGGCAGGAAAGACCAAGATAAAAACTCAGAAGACAACAGTGTGAAAACTGTTACAAGCAAAGCCTCAAAGAAAAATGCTAATTGGATCCAAGCCCAATAAGAATGCCTGGAAGAATTTTCTTTTTCTTTTTTTTTAAAAAAAAGAGATGAGTGGTAAAGGAAAAATCAGGAAAAGGAAACAAGAGTGATGCAAGAAAATTATAAAAAGAGAATTATTAGCTTGGTTTAAAAAAAGAGGACACAACAAATACTGAAGAAAGTATCACCTTAAAAAAGAGAATTGGCCAAATTGAAAAAGAGGTACACAAGCTCACTGAAGAAAATAATTCCTTAAAAATTAGAATTGGGCAAGTGGAAGCTAATGACTCCATAAAGACTTCAAGAAACAATTAAACAAAAAAGAATGAAAGAAAAAATAGAAGAAAATGTGAAATATCTCACTGGAAAAACAATTGACCTGGAAAAGAGATTGAGGGGAGATAATTTAAGAATTATTGGACTACCTGAAAGCCATGATAAAAAAAAAAAAGAGCCTAGACATCATATTTCAAGAAATTACCAAGGAAAACTGCCCTGATATCTTAGATCCAGAGGGTAAAATAGAAATTGAAAGAATCCACCAATCACCTCCTAAAAGAGATCCCAAAATTAAAACTCCCAGGAATATTACAGACAAATTCCAGAGCTCCCAAATCAAGGAAAAAATACTGCAAGCAACCAGAAACAATTCAAATTTCAAGGAGTCACAGTCAGGATCACACAAAATTTAACGGCTTCTACACTAAAGGAATAGAGGATTCGGAATGATATTCCAGAGGGCAAAGAAACTAGAACTATAACCAAGAATAATCTACTCAGCAAAACTGAGTATAATCCTTCGGGGGGAAAAATGGATATTTAATGAAACAGAGGACTTCCAAGCATTCCTGATGAAAGTGCCAGAGCTGAATAGAAAACCTGACATTCAAACAGACGACTTAAGAGAAGCATAAAAAGGTCAACATGAAAGAGTAAGAGACTCAATAAAATTAAACTATTTACATTCCTCTATGGGACCTAAGAACTCTATCATTAGTAAGGCAGTTAGAAAGAGACCACATAGACAGAAGGCATAAGTAGGAGTTAATTGGGATGATCCTCCCCCTCCCCAAAAAGTGACAGGATGAGAAAGAGGGATGCACTGGAAGAAGGGGGAAGGGAGAGATAGAATGGGGAAAATACTCTCACATAAAGGAGATACACAAGGAACAGTTTTCGTAATAGAGGGTAAACTGGAGGGTGGCAGGCAATGTTGAATCTCAGTCTCATCAGAATTGGTTCAAAGAAGGAAGAATATATATACACATTCAGACGGGTACAGAAATCTATCTTATTCAATACAGAAATAGGAGGGGAGGGGAAGGGGATAAGAAAGATGGCGGGGAGGGGATACAATAAAAACAAAATCAAAGAAGTAAAAAAATAGAATAAAATGTGAAATTTCCAATAGAAAAAACAACTGACCTAGAAAATAGATCCAGGAGAGGTAATACAAGAGTTATTAGATTATCTGAAAGCCATGATCAAAAAACAAAACAAAACAAAACAAAAAAGCCTGGACAACATCTTTCAAGAAATTATCAAAGAAAACTGCCCTGATGTATTAGAACCAGAGGGCAAAATAGAAATTGAAAGAATCCACCAAACACTGCCTGAAAGAGGTCCCAAAATGAAAATTCCCAGGAACATCATAGCCAAATTCCAGAGCTCACAGACTAAGGAAACAGTACTGCAAAGATCCAAAAAGAAACAATTCAAATATCATGGAGCTACAGTCACATTTACACAGAATCTGGCAGCTTCCGTATTAAAGAACCAGAGGGCTTGGAATACGACATACTGGAAGGCAAAGGAGTTAGGATTACAACCAAGAATCACCTAGCCAGCAAAACTGAATATAATCTTTCAGTGAAAACAAAATGGACATTTAACGAAATACAAGACTTTCAAGCATTCCTAATTAAAAGATCAGGATGAATAAATAATTTGACTTCCAAATACAAAGACTCTGAGAAAAGATAAAAAGGTAAAAAAGAAACGAGAAAGAGAAAACAAAAGAAATTCAATGAGGTTAAACTGTTTATATATGGCAAGATATTTGTAACTCTCAAGAACTTTATTACCATAGGAGCAATTAGAAGGAGTATATATAGACAGAGGGTGTGGATATAAGGTGACTTTGATGGGATGATACCCCAAAAAACAAAATAAAGAGATGAGAAAGAAAATTGTACTGAAAGAAGGGAGAAGACTGATTATTAATTATCCCACATAAAAGAGGCATGGAAAAGCTGTTCTAATGGAGAGGAGGATGGGGAGGATGGAGGACAAAGCTTGAGCTTTACTCTCATCAAAATTGGCTCAAAAATAGAATAACATACATACTTAGTTGGATATAGAAATCTATCTTACTCTATAATAAAGTAAAAAGGGATGGGGATAATAGAAGGGGGAGGGAGAACTGACAAAAGAGAGGGTAGATTGGAGAAGGTGTTGATCAGAAGTAAAGCGCCTGTGAGGAGGGAAAGGGTGTAGGTATGAGAGAGAGGGAGATAAGGGAAAAACAGCATGGAGGTAAAGACACAGGTAGTTATTGTAACTATAAATGTGAATGGGATGAACTCACCCATAAAATGGAAGTGGATAGAAGAACGGATTTAAAACCAGAATCCTATAATATGGTGTTGACAACAAACACATTTGACAGAGAGAAATACACACAGGGTAAAAGTAAAGGGCTGAAGCAGAATATTTATTATACTTCAGCTGAAACAAAGAAAGCAGGTGTAGCATTCATGATCTCAGACAAAGCAAAAGCAAAAACAGATCTAATTAAAAGAGATAAGAAAGAAAACTATATCTTGCTGAAAGGTACCATAAACAATGAATATCAATACTAAACACATATGCACTGAATTGTATAGCATCTAAATTTTTGAAGACCTTGAATGAGTTACTGTAGGAAATAGACAATAAAACTATACTGGTGGGGGACCCCAACTTTCCCCTCTCAGAACTACATAACCAAAAATAAAATAAAGAAATTAAGGAGGTGAATAAAATTCTGGAAAAGTTAGATATGATAGATCTCTAGAGAAAACTGAATGGGAATAGAAAAGAATATACCCTCCCCCCACCTCTGAAGTTGGCCCCTACAGCATGAGCCCCACTGGCAATGGCCTTGGACCCTGGGGCAACCTTTGCCTGGAAGCATCACCCAGGTTCAGCACATCCTGCTCAAGGCAAAGAAGCTAGCCTCTGAACTTGAGTAAGCACACTCTTTTAAAGTTGGAGTTTTAACTGTTAATGATGAGATGTTGATTCTCTGTGTAAAGTAATCTGGAAATGCATTTAACAAAATTGAAGTTACCTGATTGGTAATGGGTTTGTTTCAAGTTTCAAATTGGTGAACTTTTTGTATCAGTTATGTCAAGCAACTTTTCATAATTTGGTTATAGCTAAAATAATTTGGCTGTAGTTGGTTATTGTTTTAATGTGTAAACTTGCCAAAAAGCTTGTTTGGATTTTGTCTTGCTGAGAATTTGCAAGCATATTGAAATGATCTCTATTATTACGATTGGCTTTTTACACCAGGACAAATTTAAGTTTGAGATGTAAATCCTGGAAAAAGTTTTTCCTAAGCTGTGATTAGTGAAACTTGCTGTTTGAGGTAAAAGCTCATGAGATTTTGAGTTGTCTGATGGATCATAATAACCCATTGATAATCAATAATCCACCATCTGAGAAAAATGCCACAAGCTACTCAGAGAGAATGTGATACTAGTAGGAAGTCAGCAACAAGAAAAGCTGAGAGGACAATTTTAGCTTCAGTCTAAGATGGGACCCTCCTGGCTCAGTTTCCCCATTACATTCCTTTGAAAAGGAATGTTACCCACCTGGCTATTCCTGAGTCTGGCTATGAGGTGGATTTGATACTGCATGGTTGGAAAACTAAATTATCTGAATCCAAACAGAGCTAAGGATGTTTTATCCTGTCATATCTGGGCCCTGTAGTCTTTTCTGTCAGATTTGTGTCTTCCAGACTACAGGCCATTCACCT